CGAGTTGGATCAGGACCTCCCCATCCGAGATGTCCTTCCAGATGTAGTCAAAGACCCCAAACAGCGGCCTGCGAAACTGCAGCGTGTGCACCTCTTGTCCCAGCAACACTTGCAGTCCTTTTCGGGGCACTTTGTCTTGTCTCAGCAGCCAAAAACTCAGCGACAGGCATCTAGCGCTCTCTTCATCGCTCCTTGGAGGGTTCCTCGCCACAGCTCCCAGCTTTTCAGCCCTCCGTGCTCTCTGCAAGCTCTTTTCCTTGGAGTAAGGCACTCCCCCATGAGCATAAGCTTGCCTCAACGCATCCTGCCCCTCTGAGCTCTTTGCTTCCAGGTCCTCTGCCACACGAGCCTCCATGATCTCGTAAAGGCTGGTGTCATCCAAATAATACAAGGACCATAACTTCTCTTCCTCCTCCAGGTTCGGAAAAACGCTATCTCCCCGTATCTCACCCTTTCCCAGGAGACCTCCTCCGCCTTGCAAAGGTGATCGAAGAGCCAATCTCCGGTGGGAATGTTGCAGCACTCCTACTGCCTAAGCCCACCCCATCGGGAGCACTGCTGCACCTATATAGGTGTCTCCCTCTCGCTCTACACCTAGGCTGCGCCAGCTCACTTTCTCTGCAAACGTCATCATCTCAGGCCATCCTGGTGGGAGAGCAAACAAGTAGAAAGCCGACACTAGATCATCCGCACTCAACCACACTATACCTTGCCGGCTGGGAGAACCACATGTTGCAGCGCCGGGGCCCCCGTCAAGCTTCTGACATCTCCTTCGAGTACTCGGGTCGCTGCATTCGTTCCTCGAAAGTCCATGATCAATCTCAGGATTGGACGTTCATCATCAAGGTACTTTCCGGGCTTTGCAACTCCAAAGCTGCCGTTTACGAGGAACCTACCTCTGACCAACACTGGCGCCTCGACAGTCTTCACCAGGCCCCGCTTGTACATCTCCCCTGCGATCTTCTTCCATTCTTCCCGGCAGGCATGAATCTGGGGCCTTGGTATCTCCAGAGACATCTCCTCCGCCGGCAATAAGTTCCTCAGGGGATTCAGCAGCTTCTCCTTCAACTCTCCTTCACACAATTCGACCAGGCGAACACTTGCTCCATATCCTTCAGGTGGTAAGCCTGGTAGAACCAGATCCAAAGTCAATCACTGCCCTTTCTCCACTATCTCACCTTGGTATGACATCCTGACATCACCAACTTCTCGCCCCCACTCTCCCATCTCTGGGGAACAGGGCACCTTCGACTTAGTCTCACAGCTATCATCAACGGAAGCCTTCAAAATCTCCCATATTCGATCCAAAGCCCTTGCTTGACTGACACTAGTGGTTCCCTGGTGGACCTTGGCCTGTTTTCCCCCTCCTGTCCACAGAAAATTCAGTAGAACCACAGTCAAGCAATGCCAGATGAGCAGACCTGCTCGCCGTGCATGTCGAAAGGCCTTCTTGTCTGCGCCTCCAAACTTCCGAAAGTCCCCAGACTCGAAGAGGCTTCTGAGTTGTTCCTTCCCATCGGTCCAAAGCGGCAGCGGAAGAACCTCCCGTTGTCTTCCCCTATTGCCGTCGTCAGACCCCGGCTTGATGGACCGTTTGAGATACTCGCCCAAGTTCGTGCCACTTCGCATGCACACCAACGCCAAAAGTCCTCCTGTTTGTGAAATGCTCAAACCTCCACGTTCTTCATCCTTTAGACATCGCTGCAATATTGCCAAACTCTCTTCAACTCCAGCTCCAAGCTCTACACTTTTCAAGCTCTCCCTGTCTCCTTCACTCTCATCGGGGTTGGACTCCGCTGGAAAGGCTTTCGGGGTGACCAGGCATCTATAAAGCTCACAATGCCTTCCAAAGCACGCTTCTTGGAGTACTCCATGTCATGCATCATCAACGCATTGACCAACCTCCATCGGCTGATATGCACCAATTCTCTTCCATCTCCTCGCGACAACTTCACCATACACTTCGATCGACCACCACCGCACAAATGGTACAGTCCCTTTCCATCCGTCAGGTAGTGCTGGCCATACCACTCATAGTATCCATCACTCGCAATCAAATGGTCTCCAACCAAAAATCCTCTGCCAGCATCACTCCAATCTTCAACTCGTAGGCATGCTTTACCCTGGGCTCGTCCATTCCAATCATGACATTCATATTCCATCACGTAACCTTTTCCCAGGATCGACTCAGCATAACTCAAGATGTCATCGTGATCCTTGGCGTTAACCCAAATCCTCTGGTGGGGCAGAAGGCCACTTTGTAACGTCTCATTCCTATCTTCCAACGTTCCACCTTTCCTGAAAAATCAACTTCTGATTCTCCATCTTTTTCTTTTCACTCTACCTCTCTCTCTTCCTCCCTCTTTCTCAGGTCCTCCGGGCTCCTGCCCAGGAGGGATAGGACCCTCAGGGTCCCCTCCCGAGTAAAGAGGGCGAGAGTCTCGTAACCTTAACAAGTGGCCTTCTCACACCCCTCAACCCTCAGAAGCCTCTGGGTCCCCCAACTCCCACGAGGGAGCCTGGGGTCCCCAGAGGCCAAGCTTGGCCACTCCTCGGCCTCTCACTCCACGGGGAGTGCTGAGGCCAAGAAGTGGACCACCAATACACGCTTTTTAACCACCTGACCTCTCCCCACCTACCTCACGAGGAGGTCTGGTGGGAGAGGCCAGGCAGCCCTGACTTCAAAAGCTCCGGTGGAACCACAAATCAGGCATGCTATCCCCTTGGGAGAGCACATTTACAATGCTGGCAGAGTAGGCTCCGCCCAAAACTGAAAGCAACATTTGATGTCCTGTTCTTGATTTGTCAATTCAGTGTTTGCAAGTCTGGACGAATCGCTTGGTTACATTCAGTTACCCGTCCAGCCATTGACATGTGGTATATATATAAGAGATCAAATCCCATTGCATGTGTTCATCACAGGTCCCATCCTCAAAGGACTGATATTTTTCCGGATTCTGGTTCATAGTTTTTCCGGGATTCTTTTTCACGTTGTTCCTCTACCGTTTTTGCTTTTGCTTCTGCTGGGAGTGCTTTACAAGCACTAGGAGCAGCAAAAAGGGCAGGGGACGAAGCACCAAAGCCAGCGTGACAGTGACAAAGGGACGGAACAGAAAAGGTATTCCACTTACTAGGGACTTCTTTGCGGTTGTCTTTAGCTTCACTGGTTTCGGGTTTCTTTTGGCTCGGTTTATTGTCTTTAGGGTTTCTTTAGGCGTTCTTCCGGAAAAGGCATCCCACTTAACGAAGGAGAAGTAGGAGGAGAGAGGAACTATAATAGGAACTTTTCTGCGGTTGTCTTTGGGTTTCTTTGGGCTAAGCAAAGTGGAAGTTCACCTTTGTGGCAGCGTCAACGCAAAGAAAATAGTAGTTGTGGTAACTGTGGTAGGACTCGTAGCGGGGTGGTCCGAGTGATGGAGGTATTGGAAATAGTAGGGGTGGTGGACGGTAGTGGCAACTATTTAAAAAAAGAAATGGGAGGGGGTGCGGGGGAGGGCGCACCGCCGCCCCCGCAATGCAAATCAAATATAGACAGCGCTGGGCTGCTTCGTTTCTTGATTGGTGTAATTGGGTGTCAAAGCTCAAGGTGAAGGTCTTATCATCCAACTTTGTGGCAGTGTCAATGCAAAGAAAATAGTCAGCAGAAGCAAAAGCAGAAGCAAAAGCAAAGGCAGAAGCAAAAAGCAAAAGCAGAAGCAAAAGCAAAAAGCAAAAGCAAATGCAGAAGCAAAGGCCAAAAGCAAACAGCAAAAGCAGAAGCAAAAGCAAAAGCAGAAGCAAAAAGCAAAAGCAAAAGCAAAAACAAAAAGCAAAAGCAGTAGGGAAAAAAACACAAAAAAAAATCCCGGAAAAAAACCTGAAAAAAAAACGGAAAAATAGGGGTTCCTCCTCAAAATGCATTCCCGAACACCTGAGATCACAAAAAGATACGTCCGGCCAGCCAGGTCCGTCTCTAATGTTCGCCAGGTCCGTCCAGCGGCCAAATGTTCAGTCCAGAAGGAATAGTTCTTTTGTTCCAACCACTTCCCCAGGCATGAGAGCTGAATCCTCAGAGCGCGAAAAAAGAGAGGTTCAAGTGGTTCTCGTGTGGGCCCAGGTAGCAATACAAGAATCGAGGGAGAGGCTTGCACATGTAGCCATCCTCAAGTAGACAGAACATGGGACCATCCGAAGTACATTTATATCTAGAAATTCTTCTTGGGCAGACATTGATGCCTATTACAGTATGGGTAGAGGCGCCTTTGTCCGTGCGCTCTGGCGTTCTTGTCCCCCGGTATGGGCGTTCTGGTCCTTGTGGTGGCAATAAGGATCAACCCCACCACTGGTTCCAGAAATTTCCACGGTAGTGAAAGTCCTTTGTATATCAGGAATGAAGTCCTTGATGCTTCACTTGCATGTTGTTTTAGTGTTTCTATGCGTTGATTCATTGTTTTAACTGATTTTTTTGCTTGGGTGTTTTTGCCCGTTACCTAGGCGTTCTTGTTTCATTCAAATTTTGGCTCTGCCTCCCGCAGGTAAGAATACGTGCAATGGTGCCTTCCGCGTTTGTGACCCCCAAAGCTGCAGCGTTAGGGCGTTGTCCAAAATGCGCGGAATGGTTGATGTGCCGTGGACGTGCGGAAAACTCTGGCGCCGTGACGGCTGGAAGATCGGTCCGATCGGTGAAATGCTTCCGGAAGGTCCGATCAGGGTCGGTGTTTTCTCCATCTGCCACCCCAAACGGTCGAACACACCGGTCGAACACCGACGCGCCGCCCAGTCCGGGTGACCCGCGGTCTCGTCTTTCGGGACACGAGACGTGCGGAAAACCACTCGCACCAGGTCTTCGGATGGACAATGGTCCTCCGTATTTGCGGGGGGCCATCCCATCCCATCCACAGGTCCCCATGGATTCGGAGCAGGGTCGAAGCGTCTGGCTCTCTGTCAGTGACCAGAGAGACCCATGGTTTTGACTCCAGCAGTGTCCAGTCTCACCCAGGTTCAAAAATGCTCCTTCATACACCTGAATCTGAGTCGTGTTCTTGTATGATCCAACTGTCCCAATGAGGTCCAACTGTCCCTGCAGGAGGCAAATGTGCCGGGTCTCATTCATCACTTCAAAAATCGGCTGGTGAGGATCAATGGCCAGCCCACACCATCGCAGTCTTCAACATAGCACAGATCCCATGCCAGCCATCCCATGCTTTGGGTGTCATCCGAGTGGCCAGCCCACACCATCTTCACCACGGAGGTTAAAGCCCGACAAGCTCGTGTAAATCTTGCCAATGCTGTACCTGTCATGGGATACCGCAGACGATCGTTTCGGTGCGGATGTGTGGATCGTTTCACGTGCGATGTGCGTTCGATGTGCGTTGGGGGTGTGAAAAGATGTGACACCACAAAGAGCATTGAGATATGAAGTAGTTGGGGCCGTCCAAAAGATACGGAAAGTTATCCGTTGTGTTGGATCTCTTGCACAAAACGTTTTATCCTCTTTTATCTACTCCAGGATGACTATGATGATCGCAAATTCAGGTCAACAGGCACCCGGGCCTGATGGACCTGTGGGTCATCAAATCTATGCCGTCCAAGTCTGCAGACCCCCGGTTCGACCCCTGGGACACAAAACTGAAACATAAAGACACTCACCCTCCACATACCACTCAAGCCCTTCCGCTTTATATGGCACAATCATCTGAAACAAACGCCCAAGACTGGCATCAACTGTCTTTGGGGTAGATGCAACTGACTTTTGGTCCATCCTTGGACAAAAAAATACAAAACATGTGTATATATATATATATATGTTGATATACCCCAATCTTCAGGCACTCTCTGAGCAAGCATGGACCCAGAATTGAGCAAAAACAGAATCTGGACGCAGTTCCATCCCCAGTTGTGGGGGCCCTCAAGTCAGTGGACTCCACGAACTGCGTGAGACGTTTTGACGCTCCATCATTCGAGGATCATATCCGACGCCGAATCATCCAAGGCGCCCTATCTCGCCAGCCACCAGCTTGGGTGCCTAGCACCAGAGCTATGCCCAAAGTGGGCCCAATGGATGGTAAGTGGGCCCAATGGATGGTAAGTGGGCCCAATGGATGGTGGTTTCTCCAAAAGGGCTCCATTAGAAACAAGGCCTCCACCCTCGCCCACCATATACCAAAGGCAGCTATCAACATGCGGAAGTGGATGGCACCACCATTGGTTCATCCAAGTCACCACAAAATGATTTCAGGGAGTGTACACCCTAACCTACGAGAAGTCCAAAGCCACCTAGGTCACGCAGCAGTTGATCATGGCATAGCCCACCGGCTCGCCATGTCCCACGACCGGATGGAGGGAGAAAACCGTGGAAGACCCGGGCGCCGGTGGCGGGGAAGAGGCGGTGGCGCCGGTGGCACTGGTGCTTTCGGGGTGGTGCCCTGTCCGCGACGCCAAAAAGAAATGGCATGGGATCATCCGGGATCTTCCAAGCTTAGCAAATGAACGGAATGACAAAAACTAAGGAGACCAGTGTTTGGAAGTCTGTAGTTTGTAGTTGGTCAGTTGGGACCCAACACATATGATGCAGCACAATTCATCATCACTTTCTTCACATCCTTCATGTAAATCCATCTAAATCCCGACTTTGGCGATGAGGCTCATTGATCACTTATTTCAGGGGTGTAATCACCAACAGTATAGTATTTTATATATATATATATGACTGATGTACAAAACCTCTGGCTAGAGGGACCTCCTGGGGATGGTTCAAGTTCGAGCCCCCCGTCTTTCCATTCTGAACCAATCAGGGTTGTTGCCAACCCAAACATCAGATGTTGTCCAATCCTCATAAAACGACACCCCTAAAAATGTCTTGGCCAACGTCTCGATCTGCTAAAGGGCCATCAGGTCTTCATTCGGCTAAACGTTGCGAAACCGACCAAGGAGCAGAAGCCGCATCTCCGTTCTCGGGCAAAGGGCCATCGTAGAGCTCCTTTGAAAAAAACCACGGGTCGGAAGACGGGTCGGTCCTCCCGTCTACGTCACACGGTGTCACGTCCAACGTCATGTGGAGGCTCATGCGGATTTTTGGGACAAGATGCCCTGAATGATTTCAGACCAACAAAGATCACCATTGACTCGGTCCAGTCAACTGGAGGCTGCTTTTCTGCCACTCGTCACCACATATTTTGGCGGTCTGCGTAGCATTTCATCTCCTCCATAACTACCGGAAAGCTCGACGCCGATGCAACGCCGATGTCTCGGAGGTCAAACCCTCCAAAATGTCTTGGCAGACGAGAGCATCCTCTGACACAGCAAACCCCAGCATCTTGTATAAGCGTGACACATTCCCAAGACGCAACTTTCCTACAACAAAAATGCCTTGATTTTAGGAGACCAACCCACGGCATGATCGCTGCTTGGCGACTACTTTGTGGTCTTCCTGATTCCCCACCTTTCTGACCTCAAATCGAACCCAGGTCGAAGACCGACCGCTCGTAGAGCAGATGCCGAACACCCTCGTCAGATGCAGCGAGTGAAAAGACCAGTGAGTGAAAGGACTGGCGTTTAACCCACGGTTTCCTCGGGGATTTGAGCATTAAAAACTCAAAAGCATTCAAAAGGCCCAAAGATCTTCTGCAAAATGCATCCGTTTATACTCCGCCAAGGGTGATCATCCTTATATCTTCTTATGCCTACAATCCACATAGCGGTGTCCAAAGACATCTATATAACACCCACAGCCGGCACTGACCAAGGGTCGATGGAATGAAGATGAAAGTTGATGGTCGGATTATCACCTGAGGCAACAATCCAACAACAAGCCAAAGCAGACTTGGTCAAGGTATGTTCAAAGAAGCTCACTCACATCCCCTTAAAGCAGATGGACAATTATGGGGAAGGCTTTGTACAGCCGTTCCAAAAGGAAAAACAAAACCTAAATTTCACCATGATGGCCGATGGCATCTCAACCAACCCTAAGAAGTGACGAGCTACCATTGCTTGCTAGTCCACGCTTCTAGTAACTAGAAGCCTGGACTAGCAAGCAATGGTTTGGCATGCTCGCAGACATCCGTGCAGCACCTTCAACGGCGGATTCGGAAACTAGAACCGTGGATTCGGAAACTAGGGTGGCCACGGATTCGGAAAATATGCACGGCGCGGATTCGGAAACTAGGATTCGGAAACTAGAATGGCAGATTCGGAAACTAGGATTCGGAAAATTGAAGGAGCGGATTCGGAAACTAGGATTCAGAGACTAGAACGGGTCTGAATTGGATAGTTTCTGAATCAGGTCTGTGAAATACGAATATGTCCACGCTACATCACAAACATTTCATTAGATCCCCACCCCACCCCCCCACCCACCCACCCCATCACCCAGTTCCTGAATCGGATAGTTTCTGAATCGGCCATTTTCTGAATCGGCTAGTTTCTGAATCGGGTCACTCTGTAGTTTCAGAATCGCAAGTTTCTGAATCGGAGTTTCTGAATCGGAGCCAGTTTCTAAATCGTCTTCTGTTCCGTGCAGCACAATTCGCTCTGACGTTAGCTCCTTCGAACACATCCAGCAGAAATGAAGTGATATGCACAAGATGAAGATGAGCTACACTCTGACTCACTAACATGGAAGTGAAGACGATCCCTTGAAAGACTAATTTCCTTTACGAACAGGGTGCCATCCACTTCCATGTGATGTGTTCGTCGGAGGGTAGCTCATATTATTCTGTGACTTCTGCAAGCGATGCGGGATAAATGAGTCTTGTATGGCATAAAATGCCCTCACGGTCAAACACTGGAACTTGTGACCGTATCCTGACCGAACCTCATTCATTAGCTTTGTGTCCTCGAGAACGGCTTCATCAAACCAATCTCCCATGGACCCCAAGCAAGACCAGACAAATTTGGGTCTCCCACCAATCAAACAAAGCGAAGGCTGGAGCGACCCATTAAGGCTGGAACTGGCCCGCTTGAAGGCTTCCAAGTACTTCCACGTCATCCAGTTCTCTCCATGCTGATCCTCGAACCAGCGACGTCGAGCACCAGCGCGTTTTTCGCGACGCACGACGACGCACGCACGTTGTTGTGTACTGGGGCCGCTGGGAGACTTCGGCCTGTGGTGATCAAGATATACAGTATTGTACAGTGGTTTCAGAGAAGATACTGGCACAACCCACCAAACTCACCCCTTCGAGATGGGGGTTCATGTTTGAAGCGCCTTTGCCTTTGTTGGGGATTGTGCACTACCTCGTGCCTTACCCCATGCACGAGCCAGCTCGCGTCGTGTCTAGCCCAGCGGCAGGAAAAGACGCAAAGGAATGCAAGACTGGGGCAGTGCAGTGTTCAAAGGCTGCCTTTTGCACTTGTTACATACGTGTGTCGCAGCATGGCAAGGAATGAGAAGAATGTGCAAGACGGAAGAGGCTCATGCAAGACTACGGCACACATCATGTCTCCAGGGTCCTTGTGGTACTCATTGATACCCTGGTACGTCAGCTGAAAGTTTCGGTTGCAATAGAGGTAGTACCTGGGCAAAGGTCTGTCTTGCGGATCAGTCATGCCAGAGATCAATGATTGGGAGCTGCCTCCAGACTAACCAACCTCGAACACATGAGCTTCTGACAATATGTTCAACATGCCATTGCCTATGGCCCCACTGGCCACAGCGCATGGAAACACTCATATATCTACATATATTAGATAATATATACTGCAATCTCTTGAGGTCAAACTTTGCAAGATTGATGTTTCCTCTGAGATCTCTAAGAATGGGTTGATTGGGACGGGTTCTTATGTGTCGTCCGCCGTCTGCTGTTCTGGCGCTCCGTTGGAACGACCAGAAGCACCGGTGGCCCTCTCCTACCGAAGGTTGGACCGACGCACACGAGAGTTGCAAGTTGGGAAGCAAACCAAGCTGAAGGGCTTCAAGGGTACCCCCTCATGGCTCCGAATTCTCAGAAACACCCAAATGAACACAGATGTGCAAGAGGCTGTTGATGCATCACTGAACCGTCTCACACCCTGCCCACCCTGCCATGAAAACCATCTCCGTCTGCTCAGCCCGGGCACCGCACGCCAACAGAGGGCACGTCTTCGGACCTGGTCTTCGCCCGCTTCAGAGCCTTCTTCACTGGCTTCGAGAGGGAGAAGTTTTTCCAGTCCAACCTGAGATGGAAGAAGTAGGGCTGAGTAGGGGCCCATGAGAATTTTGATGCATAGAACCCCCCCTTTCGCTTGTAAAACCATAACGGGGAGGGTAATAAAGATTCCACATTAAGCGGGGTACTGAGACTGGAGTTGAAGCTGTAGAGCTCACATCACGAATACAACGTGACAGCAAACCAGGCGTGCCGGTCTTGGAAACCAATCTTTACAGATTCTCTGGCCTTTGCCAAAACAGTGAACAGTTGAGCTGAATTTTGAGCTGGTTCGGAACCACTGCAGCAAAGTGTGAAGGCAGAAAAACACCACAACATGGCGCCGCACCGTGGCCCCTGGCCGATCGAAAGACCCCCGCGCTTTTCCAGCTGGCCGATCCATGGTGCCATGGGCCTGACAGGTGCTCAGCCTGCCGTGCTCAGCCGTTCGATCCAAGGAGCACACCATAGTAGGGCTGCAGCTCCGGCAAGGGCTTCCGATCTCGACCCCTCCCACGGGGTGGAAACGCGCGGGACGGTCGACGGGTGCGAAACGGTCGACCGGTGCCTGCCGGTGGTGATGGTGAAGAAGCCCTCGTAGGCCAGGCGTGCCAGGAAGATCGGATCCTGGAGAAGGCGCCGTTCTTCGAGCATCGAAAGCAAGCGTGCAGGTGCTGGGGGTCGGGCTGTCTGGTGCTTGTTTCATGAAAAGATCCGATAAGTGTTCGAATTGTTGAAGGTTCCTATAAATAGGTCTTTTCAATTGAAAAACAGCTCTATGGTCTCGGCTTGCTCATGGCCCAAGGATTCAGAGTTGCTGGTGATGACCCCAGTTACACATGAAATCCCCCGTTGAGTAGGACTGGATCTTCATTCCATCAGGGCCAAAGTCCGTCCCGTGGATCCCGTTGAATTCTGGGAATGGGCGTCTTGATCAAGACTAGTCTGAATCATTCTGGTTGATTAGTCTTGAAACAGTACTGTTTCAGTCTTGAATCTGGTTGATTAGTTAAAGTACTGTTTCTGCATGGAAGGATTCAATCTTGGAGAAAACCTTTGCGAGACACAAAGAGAGAGAGAGAGAGAGAGAAAAAAATAAAGGAAAAAAAGTTGGTCAGGGGCTACAAATGAGAGTTATCGGAATCCGCTTAGTGTCCAAACCAACACAATTTAAAACACCGTTTGTATCTTCTACTAATCATAAGGATTCATAAGGTACTCTGACTATTGGCTCCCCAAATTGAGGACTAGAGTGACTCGCGTGCGTGCGGCCCTGCCAGATGCTACCCCAAATCGGACCACTTGGGCTCCAGGCCCAGATTTGTTGGTCCGAGCCATCAAACCTCAGTGCATCCGTCTGTGCGTCGCGGTGCGCGACGCGCGCCTTGCACGCGCGTGGAAGGGTTGGCCAGCTATGAACCGTGGGCGAGTCTCCAGAGTCTCCAGGTACTTTGAGGTACTTTGAGGTACTTTGAGGCGCAAGCCATACCGACATACCAAGCGCCAAGGAATTACTGATACGTCCCATACTACCCCCACCAAACCATCCCATACCCGTCCCAACATTCACCAGCCATATCAAGTGCCAAGCAACAAGAAGTAGTTGAAGGAAGCCAAACGCACAGGTGACCCATCCCGGAAGCGGCCGACCACCTGGTTGAAGTCTAGACCTCACTGCCGAGGAAGGGTGGATCTGGAGCTGACTCCGATCGACTGCCACCGGGAACGGGATCGAGACTGTCCATGTGTCATGTGACATGGCTTCGCTTTGACAACGGACCACACAAAGACTTGATGATACTGAAGTCTGCAACTGCCAGCTAGTGGACTAAAAATCACCCTAGCTACTTGCTCTGCCCCGAAAAAAATCACAGAAACACGATGTGTCTCAGTGAGCTTTAAGCATCCGAACGCTTGGAAACAAACAGACGGACGACGTGTTTATCCCTTCTCATCGTTTGCCAGTTTGTTTGCAGCCAAAAGGATGGAAAAGCACTTTTCTCATCTGTTCGCCGGTTTTGTCTTCAATCCGCTGGACCGTCACTTTCTCCCATCCCTTTCTCCAGGCAGCTGAGGAGGTGCTCGACCATCTCCTCCGAAGCCCGGAAGCCTTGCTGTTGGAAGACCCCCGCGCGGCAGGCGCCAAAGTACTCCTGCCACGCATGAGTGCTTCACCAGGTTCTCCCTCCGGCAGTGGGTCCCCTCCCTGAGGGGATGACACGAGAGTTTCGCGAAGCAGGAGGCGAACGCGAGCGAAAAGGCCGCACCGTCCGGTGAAAAGCGGCGCCTTGGACCTTGCGCAGTGGCCTTTGGACAAATCTTCGTTCGGTATGTTGCACTCCAGTGGGTTGTCCAGCCTCCTAGAGGTCAGAAAGGTCTCCTCTGCCAAAGGATCTCACTCTTTCCCAAAGGCCCATCCATCAGATCATGATTGGTTCGAAGTGCAGATTCTCACTCTTTCCTGTCTATCCCGATCCCGTCAATTTGGGGGCCTCCAGCACAGCAGTGATGACAAGTCTTTCCACAGCCCAGCCCACGAGCGTCCCCATCATCCCACTCTCCTCCATCGTGAGGTGAGTTCTCTCAGGCGTCCTGGAGAACAAGGATTCCGCCAAGATTGACAGTCGCAAAAATATTGTGTGATTGCTTCATGAAAGAAGATGCTTGTGGATTAAAGCCTCGAACATGAACAGCAAAGTCTTTTGCAAGTGCGGACAAAATCCATTTGGGAACACTAAACCTCCCCCCAAAAGAGGGAGCCCAAACCAATGGAAAAATGGTCAGCAGCGGATATGTCCATGTCAATGTCATGGATGGTTCCTTCTGACCCCAGGAAAGTCTTCCTGGGGCTCTCCATCCCCTACCTGGAAGTCTTTGCTGTTGCTTTTTCAGGGTTTTCTCAGTCCTCTCCACCTCAATCGGCTGCGCTGGCGCCTCGGGTCCATGCCTAGGACAACAGACTGGCTGAGCAGGAAAATCAGAGAAGAGATAGGCGTTCGACATCACCCAAATAGGAATGAGAACTCGATTTCTGGATGTTGGAGGGAGGGCTACCTGTTCACCAACCTTGTTCTCTGCCATGACCTGATTCCAGGCTTAGGTGCAAGTGTTTGGATTCCGGAGGGGCACCGCCAAATTGTCTGCCTCTAATGTGACTTTGGCAGGTTGGAGAGGAGAAACACTCGTATACACACCACAAAACTCAACAGTGTCTCACGCCTTTGAATTGTGAAGAGTGAACAGTGGGCAAGGCTCTCCTCTTTTCTGGCCGGTTCCCGAGGCTCCAACGAGGATTTCTTCGCCTCGCAGGCGAAAGAGCGGGCAGTGCCCACGGCACGGGAAAGCGATGTGAGTCCTTCACCCCTTATTTCCAAAGAAAAAGAGATTTGAATCAATGTGTCAGAAACAGTTCGGAAGGCTTTGGGAGGTTGGGGACAGGACTTGGGGTGGGCGTACTGGTGCTTCTACCTGTACTCAGCAAGGAACGGCCTGGCCATCTGTGCCAAAACCGAACGCACCGCTGTCTTCGCAGAAAACGACACGCACCGCCTTCTTCTTTGCTTGTGCCTGACAAGTGAGTTGCGAGGATTGGTTGAGCAAATGGAGAGTTCTTTGAGAGACACTTTAAGATGTCCTATATAAGCCAAGAGGTAAAAGCTGTTTTCCCACTAAGTGACATAATACTTCTGCATGCCCACAAGTGGGACAAGTATGCCTCAAACCAGTTTCATTTTCTCTGCGTTGAAAGAATGGGGGATCAAATTGTGTTCTTCTTTGACCATGCGTGGCACACACAAAAAAAGAAACTGCACATGGGCGCGCACACACATAGTATCATGTTATGTTGTACGCTTGATGCCTCAAGAAAAAGTGATCCTGTCACATGCAAAGCTAAGACACTCATCCCCCACCTCCTCCCTCTAAGGATGGTATGCTAAAGTCCCTCTTTTTGAAACCCGAATGACCAGGACTCACGAGTCTTGACCGCACCAATGCCACGGACGTTCATCAGGAGACCGAGCTCACTATGTTGGAGCTGCAAGTCCTTCACCTACAGTATCCGACCAAGCCAGATGGCTTTGGCGCAAGGGGCTCATCAACTGGATCTTGCAAGATCTAAACCATTCCGGAGACGGGGGGTGGAAAGATCATCCACAGTCAACCCTACCCAGACCCCCCATTGGCAACGTCTTTGCTTCTCAAGGCACCCGGAGTAGATCAAACAAAAAATAAGAAAACACTGACCGGTTGAGACAGATCAGACAGATCCAGATCCCATTGCCATTCATCTTGCTAAGACGTCCCCTAGTCACCTTTCTTTTTGAGACGCCCTTTGGATCATGATCATCGCAAAGGCTCCTCTCCCAGCCTGTCGTTGCTTTTCTCGGATCTGCTCTTGCACCTCCTGCGGTTTGATCTTCACTGTGAGGTCCATCAAGCTCACCCAAAAAAGAGCTGGTCTGTCGGCTCGCTGTCCGAGGTGTTTTGATCCAAACGCCCAAACGATGCACCCTGCCGACCACCCAACCGCGTCCGCCCTCCGAGTCGGCCAAACCAAGGGGCCCGAAAGAGCCCTGGAAGGAGATCTCCCCTTTCAACCCCAAGGAGAAACTGCCCCCACATATTGGGTGGGCAGGCAACTCCAAGAGTCCTCCGGCAAGCTGGAGAAGCTCTTCTTGGCAAGCACAGCAGCCATGGGGAAAGCATGAGAGGACAAAGGTGAGCTCTTCGTTGTAGGAATCTAGGTGAGGAATCTAGGTGAGGATTCAGTGCAAATAAATCTCTGGCGTGCCACTAGAAACGGTCTCGGATGTTCTTGTCAGCTCTCTTCCGGTAGAGGCGCAATCAATTTTTTCTGCGAATCATTCAAGATCTGGCCCACGGGCTTGCCGTTTGCATCTCAAGACATGAGCCGCTAAAGCCCTCAGAGTTGCCCCAAAACATCGCATCGGACGGTCGGACCGGTCAGAGGGTCAGGCAGACGTGGAGCTGAGAAAAATCCCATGTGTATCACGAACGAACTGGGTGGTTTCTGGGTGATCAGGTGGTATCAAGACATCAGGTGGTGTACCTAGCACTTCCAAGGGATATCTAAATGGATACCTAAACAGTCAGTAGCTGTAGGGTCCCGTTGGTGACACCTTGGAAGCAGCTGGTAGGTTTGAAACAGGGTTGAAATGGACTGTACCACACCTGCCATAAAGTTCTTCCGCGCAAAACCCAAAACATGCTTCTAAAATATAGTAATAGCATATATAGCATTTTATACAACTGCAAGGTAAAGCGTTCACGGCATACTCTTCTTTCTGGCTGAAGCAAGTTAAACATGTGTTAGATCTTCAAACGTAAAGCAGATCTGACACAAACGTTAGCTCAGAAACAAGCTGGGCGTTTCGATGACTGAACTCTACCCAGGTCGATCGACCACTCTTGCACTGGGCAGTATCGGTTTCCATATGTCCGATAGAATCCTCAAAACAAAGCTACTGACAAAGCTGGTGAACAATCAGGGCAACTGGGCAACGTTCTCGTGGTCAATGTAGTCTCTTGGCACTCAAAAACTGAGTGAAGCTCATCTACACCCTAGTATATTGGACGATCGACTCACTCGTGTTTCACAGCGCTTTTCACTGGATAGGAAATCTGCATTCCATGGCAATCTACAAGACCACACCACACCCAGCCTTGAATGCCGAAACAATCATCTTAAACAGACTATATGTATATATACGGATCAAATGCAGCACCCTATGACATTTTTTTTTGTACCCAATGGCTCCTCTTTTCCCTGCAAAAAAAGAGAGAAAAACTCAGCTGTTCTCCACCCAAGAACCTCAAACACTCCGCAGTTCCCCCCCCAGTTCCGAGGATGGCCACTTGGATGCTAGCATCTTTCCTGGGCACGCTCTTCTTTTTGTCGGTCGGATCCAGACGACCGGTCCGTGGGTTGTTGACCGGACGAGTGGTTCAACACCCGTTGAACGCACCGGTCAGACCGTGGACCCGGAGATGAGGATGCACCAAACCTCTCATCCAGCAACTTGTTAAAATGAACATGCAAATCTGGCCACAAAGTATAGCAGCTGTGGAAACCCAGGACACCACTGGGTTTTGCTATCCTTCCTCACTCCACTGTGGTGTTTCCTTGCTTGTTGAGGGGTCCATTGAGTTTCGGCTGCTTCAGCTCCTCCCATTCGCCCAAGTCTCAGGGCCACTTGCATGCTGGTCATCACTGTGGTGGGGTCATCGAACTCATCCCAATCAGCCTGGTAGCGTCGCAGCATGGGGGCGCTTCAAATCAGGTCGCTTCGCAGAAATGATGGCAAAGGAACCTCAACATCGTACAAATGTGTGCTTCCTGATTCATCAATGGGATGGAAAACCTAAAAAAGCTTTTCTCCCAGAGTCAAATACTTAAATTGTTTGTCTTTGTTGTTTTGCTCAGCTATTGGTTGCCTTTGAGGTCCCTACCTAACCTGTTCTGAGCTTAAGATTGGTTCTTGGCATTCTGAACACATTTATCCAAAAAAATATTCAAACTAATCAATCTGAGACTATTCTTTCAGGAACAACACATATGAAATGTCACGGGAATGGAACAATGCTAAGGTTTGGAGCCCTGGAAAAATATGTGGGGTGGTCTTTTACTACTCAGCTATCGGTTGCCTTTGAGATCCTGGCTTAGCCTCTTCTGAGGTTAAGCATGATTCCTGGAACTCTTACGTCTTACTGGAAAACCTGTTCAATTACCAATATGCATACAAACTCATCGAAATGATTGTCCCAAACTATTTTTAACGGGGTAGTCCACAAGCACCCGGGCATTGAATTACATATATTATATGATTAATTTCGCAGATGGAGCAATGCCAAGGTTTGGAGCCCTGGAAAAAATGTCTGAGAGTAGTTTTTTACTACTCAGCTATCCGTTGCCCACTACCTCTTTAGCTACTCATGCTGCCTGAGTTGTCTTGCTGCTACTAGGCCTGACTCCTTGGAATTGCTTCAGTGGGAGTCATATTCTTCAGACTCTCTCAATCGTTTGCGATGGGGTATTACCAATCAAGACCCTACATTAGTCCCAACCAACCAACCAACCAGCCATCCACCATCACCTTCTTCAAGTGGATCGTTTCAATCAGCCTCCCATCCAACCATTCCAGCGGAGCAAGCTATCTTTTGGTCATGGGAGGGTAGGCAACTTGTGCCGTTCTATATTCTGCACAATTCTCCAGCACCCCACGCACCCCATGCAGTCGTGCGGTGCCTTGATGTTCAGGAAGGCCAGCCCAAAGGCTACCAACCTAGTGGACTGATCCATCTGCAATGAACACAGGCTTGTTGGTTCAAAAGTTGATTGCTGGGGGGAGCCCAGGCCTTGCGCATGTTTCCTCTAATGGATGTTCTCCGTTCACATTACCCCTTTGGCACCATGCCCAAGCTGTCAGACCATGAAAGAAGCCAATCGCTGCTGGGGCGGTATACCCACTTGCACAACATGGACTCTGTCCATCTCTATGCCCTGAACCCACTCAGAGTTGTTGCACCCTGGAAGAGACTCACATGGAACCTGAAAACCACGTCGGGTTGTAGAGGAAAATAGTTTTCCGTAGGTCCATTTCAAGTTACCATGTCAATCTTCCCGGGTGTAGGTTTCAATCTTCCAACTAGATTGATGTGTAGAAAGCACCTTGCGGATCACGGATCTCCAGACAGGACACCCCTTCCCAAAAAGTCCAGGAAACATCCTAAGAAAACTTGGGCTCCAAACATTTTCACTGGTGGCCTTTTGGTGGCACTCGTTATTCCACAATAACAACTCAGCAAACCTGAAGCCTAGAATTCTGGGGGGTAACTCCAATGGGTCCTGAGATCCCATCAGATCCCATCATCCGTTTGCCTCTCCCGAACTGGGCGGTGCTCCGATCCGCTCCGACGTCGCGACGGTCGACCGGTGACCCGAACCGGACCCAACGGTCGCCGTCGTCTGAGACGGCCAAGTCAGCCCGGCTGCGTGCGGTTCTTCCGCGGAGGAAAGGGAGGTTCGTTCGCGGTCGGGGGAGCGACGCAGGGCGGATGCGACGGTCCTGATGCGATCCTGGGGGTCCCGGCTGGGAAAAGTACTTGAACTGGTGCGCAGGGTTGGGCGCAGGATACCTCGATGGCGGAGGGCGGAGGCTATCTTCCTCCGTCACGAAGAACCCGTGCAGTTAGTGGGGAAATTGGAGGATCCAGAGGATTTCCTCTAGAAGCATGAGACCAAATGAATCCAAATGATCTCTTTAAAACCCACAAGTAGGTGGTTTCCGTCTACGCAAGTGTGGGGAAAGTAAGCCATGGGTGACCGCTTTCCACCAAGCTTCTCGCCCTGCAACCACCCGTCGAAACCGATGTTTTCGGGGGACCAGGTACATCGTGGGCATCGGCGGGTCTGTGAAAGAAGCAGGATCACAAGTGGACTGCTTTTCCCAGACACAACCCATGGTGCTGGCACGTTTAGGGATGAGTGGGGGGTTGAAACAGGATCAATGTAGTCATGCATTCCAGTCCCATGGAGTGTCTGGGTTTGAGTTTCGACGCCATTCTCATCCGCCCCTAGTTCATGGTTCAACTGACTTTTGCCTACCCTCGTTCACTCTCAGCGATGGCTCACGCGAAGAACGTCCGCGGCATAGGCTTCAGCTCTTTGGTACAGAACCTGGCAATGATAGATGCGGATGGTCAGGAATCATCCTGGTATAAAACTCCTTGAAGGAAGAAAGAAAGAGACACTGTGCCCTATGGAAATGGGGCACGATGACCACGGTGTTTTAGGAGAGTTCCAGGTGGTTCAGGATATTTTGAGAGTTGAAGAAGGAGTCGAAATTAATCTATGTTCAAGTCAGGAGGTGTTGCGACATTACAACTGTAGTTTAATTCTCTTTCGCAAAGCTCACTGACATCTCTTCTGGCTGCAAAGGCGTAAAGATCATCATGGCGCCTGTTTTCGTAGTCCAGCAACATGCACATGTCCACGATCTCATCATTCAGGTGAAGAGCCTGAGAGCTTGAGAGGTCCCGACGTCGCGTCAAGACCGGCCTGACGTCGCTGCAAGGACTTGTGGGTTGCAACATCCTAACGGAAAGGTGAAACCATCTACTCATCTGTGGGTGTCAGTCTGAATAGCCTGACATGATGATTCTGCAAGAAAAAAATGGCAGGATGTTGAGATATGCATGGAACCTAAATGAATGAACTCCCACAGCCACCATAGATCCCAACCAAGTCTACACCACCTGTTCCCCACGCAGGCACCTCGGTATTCAGGACGCCCTCCTGCGGTGGTGGAGGCGGGGGCGCAGCCATCACACCTGCAGAGGTCAGAGCCAAAAACAGCAGCTGAGACTGGCCGCAACTGCCTTTACTGCTATGTGATCATTCCAAAGGCTTCATCTGGGATGTTTTCAATCCTCAAGAGTGATCCAACAGCCAAACCTCAGAGTGATCACTTTGGATCTGAAGATGGATCTCCTTCCGCCGGACTCAGATCTTGAGACCCCCGGATGTTGGATGGGAAGGTGGAGGTCACCTTGTGGACCACGAATGTTCTCGTGAGGCTGTCGCTCGGCATAGCTACAGCTACTTGTTTTATATAGCTGACACGACATGTCGGTCGTTTGACCGACACGGCATGTCCCAAAGACGAAGAATCGCCAGAAACGACCGACACGGGTGTCCAATTTCTGGTCCATCCTATGTAAACTTGGTCCATCTGTGATTGCCTGGGTCGTGACCCAAAATATGGATGGCCATGTCCATCCTCTTGGATACTATAAACCTACCAGTTGCTTCCAAGGGGTCACCAATGGATATCTCCACACTACATAAACAGGTCTCCAGACAGGGCACCCCTTGGAAGTGCTAGGTACAGAAGTCTGACTCTGATGAGATCAGCGAATCGCATCTAGATCATCTCATTTTCCCTCAGCCTCCAAGGGCTGCTCCACTGGGAAGCGGCGGGATGTTTTGTCCCGCTGACATGAGCCGAAAGCCGAACAAAAGCGCCGTCCACACGGTGTTCACCGTCGCAGAACCGCAGAACTCGGAAATGTGTTTGGGCAATGTGCGTGTTTCCCCTTCGATCTCCAAGGACGGATTGTCCCCAGAAAAGGCGCTCCACGGCCTTACAAGTATGCAGCGCACAGACTGAACGTGTTAGGTCTGAATGGTCCCTTTGGGGGGACTTCAAGCACTGGTAAGGACATCTCGTCTGCAATGGGGTTCTTCACTTTGTCCGAGGGATAGCCATTCCTACTTGCCCCACACGCAGGTCTGACATAAACCTGCTTGCTCTACCAGACTTGACTTGGGAGTGGAAGAATACAGAAGCTCAACACCCTGGCACCGTCGAAATCCCTTTCTACACTTGGCCCACTTGGCTTCTCTAAGTCTGTGGAGAGCTGGAGAGTTTCTAAAGCCTCCACTTCCACTTCATCCTTGAACAGGATAGGAACGTGAATTCACTTTTCCACTTTTCCAAGACTTGAGGCAAGACACGTCCAAAAGCCCAGCCATTAACAATCACTGATTCCCGCTCCCAGCTCCTTGTCATAAACCGGAGCCATGGCTGACTCCCTCACCCTTTTCGGTGAGCCTACAAAAAGCTCTATGCTACGCTATGCTCTAAAGAATATATTGCTCAGGCATTGTGCCCTGACCTCCCTAGGGCCACTAAGTCGGGCGCCCCTGCACCCAGTGGCGAGGTCTAAGAAAGTCTCTCCTCCCTGCGTCGTTGCACAAGGGAAGAGGAGACGCGTTTCACCGGGCTCCATCACATGTGCTGCGGCGGAGCCGGTCGGCCGCCCGGTCGGCGTCCAATCGAACTGATTACTCAGAAGAGGGAACGCCACAGATGCCGTGCTGCGGTTCCACGCCCGTCAGGGGCGCGGAACGGTGTCCGAACGCTCTCACCGAACGCAAACCGATCTCTCCGTCCTGTCTGCCTGTCTGAGGCCGTGTGGGTGTAAATGACCAGGCCTCCCACACGTCCGAAGGTTACAAAGTTGGGTCTCTTGGAGGAATTGGATCAACTGTTGATGCTTGCAGAAAGAGAAGGAAAATGGATTCAAGTCAGTACTTCAATTTGGTTGGATCTGAACGGGAACTGACCTATAGAATCTCCCAAATAGCCTATCCTCTCAAAGCTCATTGTCTGCAATCATGTTTTCAGTGTCAGAATTGTTTGATTCGACTACCTATAGGCAAAGAAAAGTGAATCCCCATTCAAGCATGAAAACCGTCAATTCAATTCGTTTTCACTAAAACATGCCTTGATTCACGCCCCAAAAAGCGCCCCGCAGCTTCTTATCGTGGAGAGGTGTAGGTCTCCGAGCGGCATCCGTATGAGGAGAGAGGATCTCGGCATACCCAATGAGCATCTCTGGCGACCTGTTTTTAGCCATCGATAGAGAGCTCAAGCCGAGCAAGCTAGGGTCTAGAAACAGATTCGAATTATGAGATCAGGACTGGGCTTTTCTGAGGCTATTGCTGAAACAACTCCACTTCTGCCCTTTTCTCTGCGATTCTCTCCCCACAGCTTCGTGACTGGTGGTCTATCTTCCGCCTTACTAAGAGCGTGTTTTTCTGTCCCCAAAAACGAGAAAAGCGCCGAGCCGTCAGGCCTAGCCCTGAGCTGCGCATGCAGGTGAAAAATGCGAATCGACGCCCCAAACCGAGCACTGGCGAAGTGACTGTCAATCTCTCAGTCGTCGAGACCGCTATTGGACACGACCACAACCCAGGATCTCTGACAAACCAAGTCATTTGCCAAAGGGTATGTCTTGTAAGGCCCTGTAAGGATGAACATGGATTTCACTGAAGCGTGTGATACCTGCGTGCAGCTATGGCTTTTGTGGGTCATGCTGCCCTCTGTCATGAACGTCACACAAGCAGTGAAACGCGAGTACCCAGTACCTACAGTGCATGCTGTTCGGTCTTCCGTGTTCTCATTGTGCTTCCAAGCCATGGGTTGTCCGCCAGCTAGGGCCAAGTACCAGCCTGTAAAGCAAGAGGACGGGCTAGTGAACCTACGAAAAGCGTACAGAAAAAGCTTCATTCAGAGTCACTCATCTGGCTCCAACAATGCAAAGTTGGTAGTCAAACATCCATGCTGAGCCGGAAAGCCCTTCACTCCAACCGCGGCCTCGCCAGCCTCGCCCAACTGGGGGGCCGAAAGATGCGCTTTCGCACGACGTGGCCTCGGGTGGCCTCCCAGCTACGTTGAAGCCGAAGTCTAGGAGAGGCAATCCCGACCTTGGTCCAGCATGGGTCCGGTTCAGGTGGTTGGGGCAGATTTGGGGGATGTGGGCCAGGAGCACTAGGGTTTGGGCAAAGGACAGGTCATCCACCATCCACCCCCGTGTGTAGATTTGGTAGGTCATCCTTCACAGAGCTCCAGAAGTGGAGCTGACGTGCAACACACAAAGACATATAAAGCAGAGACCCACGACGTTTGTTTGCTTTGGATTTCTTTCAAGCAAATCCCATTTCTGGCATTCCATCCCGGCATTGATGTTGATTGTCTCTATCTTGTTTTGTGTGTCTGCTCACCCCAAACCAAATGACTTTGTCGCTCTGAGTGATTGAAGCAGCAAGTCACGGCCAGGAGCTCTTCCACTCCCCTCATCTGCAGCTGGGGCCCCAGCCAGCCAGCCAAACGAACATAGCCCACCAAACGCGGAAAACAAACATGTGCCACGAACGGAGCAACAGAAGCGGAGGCTGGAGACTGAAACCAGCCACATCTTTGAGTAGATGATGGATGACTTGATTCTCTTGACTGGGTTGTTCTCACCACTTCCAACCACTGAACTCTGATCGCCCGCGTCGAGTTGCTCCGTTCCCCTACAGCACCCGTTTGCTCGGACGGCTTTCACTCCCGCGACAGCGACTCCAACAGCTCTGCCGCGGAAGCTCGAAAGCGCAGCTGCAATCATTGAAAAAGTCACATGCTGAGGTTGATACTGTTGATGGACAAAATCCTGCACCTGAGGAGAATACTGTTCATCTGACGTGCAGCGTTTTGGGGGCCTTTTTGGAATGGAGGAAATGGTCCATCAACAGTATCATTACTCCCCTTGCAGAATTCCACTCACCAATCATGTGCTAAATGCTCAATCTTGCTGTTGCATCACCGATTATCCTACGTTCCTAAAACGCGCGTTGCACATCAAACCAGCTTTTGCTATCTATTGCTTCTGTTCTTTTTCGTAGGGTCGTTCTGCTCCACAACCTCAGCACTCCTCGGCAGGCAGTTTTGTCTGCCACACCAAGCCCACACTCCGCACGCGAGTAGGGCGACGCAGAAGCTCGAAAGCGCGGAGTCCGCATTCTCACGCCACTGGGTCACACTGGCGCAGGCTACCTGCTACGCTTCGGATCCCACTCGTGGACCTACAGGTCAGATTGACCTCATTGTACTGAAGTTACTGAAGTGGATCATACACAAACACTGCTCAATGAGGTAAAGGACCAGATTTGACGAGGTCAAACTGAACCTGTAGGGCATGGACTTAGGTTCAGAAGTAGATCGTCATATGAGTGATTGTCAAAGTTGCTGTCCCTGAAAGAACTTGGGATTCTATAAAGAGGTTTGTTGAAAAAGATCAAAGTCCATGTGTAGCCTTTCACCATCTTTCACCCATAGACTCCAGTCAGATTGATCTTGCCTCCGTAGTTCCAAGTTCACACAAACCAAGTTCCATGCAAATGAATGTGTCCTCATCTCCCAAATGGTCCATGACATCCTTCACCGTCCTTTCACTTGTCCAGTCGGGGTCCGACCCGCTGTCCAGGAACTCGGGTCCCTGCATGTGGATCCGGACAGAAGGCCCCAGGCTTCTGCTCGGATGCCATCTGAACAGAGGGTGGACACCGGCCCATCCCCAAAAACGCCGTTCTTAAATTCCGGACTCGCCTGCGATTCCAAAGCGCAGCAACGCCAAATCCCTGAAGTCTTCGGGTTCCCGTTCCTGGCTGCAGATGTCGGGGGATGATGAGACATGTCAAGAACCGGAATTTCAAAGCTGCTTGAAGACAGGACATCAAGTACCCCTTGGAAGAACAGGACAGGAATGTCTGGGAAGTCGAAGAGTCCACCTCAGCGCCTCCCTTGGACCCCCGCCTCCCTCAGCACCTTCAGCGCTCCGGCAGGGGACAGATGCGAGACCTCCGGTCTTCTCGGTCAAGCACTGGGTGGTCACTACTGCAAGCCATGGGCGGGTGTAGACAGCGCTCGGTTAAGCTGTAGAACTACAATGGAAAGACGGCCTGGTAGAAACTCCTGGGAAGACGGTAGGTTTAAAAGAAGTCAAGTAACGTGTTTGGGGGGTACGTTGGCTGCTCAATGGCAGAAGCTTGGTCCATCCGCTCACCTGGCAACTGTCCCTTTTTGGTCGAACGAACCTGCCCACCGGTCTCGCCAGTTGCAGAAACGGCAGTCCCTGATGGTGCTCCACGGGACCGCGGGTAGCGGGCCAACTGATGGAGCAAGGACATGTCTTTTGATAGAGCATCGCAATGCACGCATCTACCAAGCAGTGTTGCCATCTTCAGCAAAGCCCGGCAGTGTTGCCACGCAGAAGATACTCTTAGCTCTGTGGGGCGAAGCTGAAGAAGTAGCAGCAAAAAATAAATGGACTTCAAGGTCCCTTGGTAGGCGCGATGAGAGGTTGGCAACATGGTCTTTGACACCAATCTGGAGGTGTCGATCGGAACTCCAGACCTCGGTGTCAACGTCTCTTGAGAATGAAAGAGGGTCACGTATACCGAGCGTGTCCTCCTCCCTACCTCACCGTGAGAGCTCCCGAGCTCCCGAGCTTCGAATTTGGACTGGTAGCGGAACTTGGCCTGGCGGATTTGGGTTGGGCGAAACGACCATCGGACTGGTTTGGCCGAGGGGTTCGACCGTAGATCAACGACGTCCGGGGGGCCCGGTTTCCTGGGAGGTCAGATCTTGACAGCTTCACACAGTGCAAGCTATTGTAGATGCTTAAGAGTCAAGTGGGGATGAGTTCCAAGAGCGATCTCACAACTCAGAGCGTTTTGATGAACATCCAGAAAGACCTGAAAGACCTAAAAAGGTGGAGATTGGAGCCGACCAGCGTTGATTTAGCAAAGGACGTCGATTTGGTGCTTCCCGATGAACGGTGCTTCCCATGACCAAGCAAGGTACATTTCGGGTGCACAAAACCCCGAGGTTCGATGACTCGAACGTTCAGCGCCGCGCATGGCCACGCGCCACGCATGGCCACGCATGGCTGGCCAAGTCTAAAACTCGATCCAAAAAGCCCCAAGAAAGAGAGGCTGCAAGAGAGGCCCTGTTCATTTCAAGGTAACATGTCATGAAGCCCAGGAATGACCAGGAACGGATGATGAGAGCCGACAGGAAAGAAGATGAGGAACACCAACTGCAGGTTCGTTCGCTGTCCAAACGCGTGAGGTTCTTCTTTTCGGTGTCTGAAAATGGCCAGACACAGATGGTGCCTGTTCGACCAATGGTCTCTGAGTCGTCGATGGTGCCTGTTCGTCAACTCCAGATCAGTCCAATGTTCGGTGTTTGCTCATCCCAACCACGTCATACAACCACGCCATACAACCTTAGAACCATAGAACTTTAGAACAAAATGAAAACTTTGTAAGAACAGAATGAACCTTGATTTTGGTTCTTAGAACCACGTCATACAACCCAACCAGGGAACGAGGCGGGGCGTGGTGCGGTGCCGTTGAAAAGCACCCGTTGGGCGACAAAAGCTTGGCACCTCCAGCAGCCGGAAGACGTGGTGATACCTCGCAATTGGTCGCGTGGCGGTCAAGCGGCACCCAGACCGATTTTGTCGAACCCTTCCACCGAAAGAACTGTGGCAGAAAGAACTTCATCTATACTGAATTGCTTCACACCACTTGCTGAGCCCCAAACATCAACAAATGCTAAGCTGCTAAGCCCTTCACGAACCCAGGGTGAAGTTCCCAACGCCTTCCCAGCTTAGGCCATTTTTCCCGCTGCCACGCCCCCCGACCCGACCTCCAGACCGGAAGGCCGGCTTGACCGGCCATCTTTCGGCCTCCCTTTCTTCGGCCACCGAGGAAGGCGTTCATGGCCGAGGGGCTCGACCAAGCCATCCTTACAGCGGATCCAAAGCTGCAGCAGCTCCTGCACCCATCGCGGGGACCACGGAGACCGGTTCGCGCCACCACCATGCGCGGGGACCGCGAGAAGTCGTCGCGGGGACCGCGGGAAGTACAGAGGTGGTGGGGGCTCCTTTGAGCGGCCCAAGCAATGCCCCGGATAATTGGAAGAGTCCCGGCCTCTGAAAGAGGCCCCACCGTTGATGGAACAGATCTGCCGGAATGCTGTGAAGTCTACTTTATATTTGTATACTAGTGTATCCTCCGCAAAACGAAAAGTTTGGCTCAAATCCAAAGTGATAATGTTCTCTTTGCTCCTAACTGGTCTCTGAGATTACGTACTACCGAACAGACGGCCTGGATCGCAAACGTCTGCGCTCTAGACGGCCTTTTCACTCCAACGAATGTTTTCCGGAGCTGGTGTCCAACCAAGTCAAACATCACGTTTTGCATCTTGAAACGCTCAGCCATCCTGGCACCGCCCCAACCCTCTGCCTGTCGTGACCCACCGGAGTTGTAGACCCGAGGGAGCCGCCCAAATTCCACGAGAATGGGTGGCCAACATACACGACCGCATCGCTGCGACCGGTTTGGTAGATGAAGGGGCGGAATTGCCTCGGGTTTTGCCTTTAGATTGGTTCCCAACCTGCGGTCAAAAACGAGAAAACGATAGAAAACGCCTTTCTTCCCAAGCACATCCAGGTAAGTCAACCGTCAACCATTCGAACAAGGTTGCAATAAGATATTCCTTTGCAGAGCTTTGCGACGAGTTTCATTATGTCCCTTTTGGATCTGATTTGTTTCTCTACTCTTGAATTCTGGCTGTCATTGAGCGCGAAAATTCACAAACCCTTGCTGGTTCGAACAAGACGATAAACACCAGTTGCTTCGTTGTTGTGTGGGACGTGTGGCACTGATGACACAATGCAAAACAAACAGACAGCCCAAACTGGTTGGTGAAAGGAGAGCTGGCCAAGCGCCAAGAGACTCTTGTCACAAACGTTGCCATCCCACAGGTCGGCTGTAGAACACAGCCCAGCGGTCGGAAACCCAATTGTTTTTTCTTGATGAATCATGCGCTTCCAAAAGTCCGTCGGATTCTTGTTCGCCATCATGGCATCTTTCTGTGGCCGCTGCAGTTTGACACGTCGCTTGATTTCTGATATTGGAGGTGGCAAATTGGCTGCCACAAGCAAAACATCGGGGTCCATTGCGAAGGCCTCCGCTGTGCAAGGTTCAGCTTGCTCCTCAGTTGGTCTTGGCAGACCTCGGAAGGTGCGGTTGTAGAACACTGGAGTGTGGAGATCCAGGTGCCTGCTGACTTGTGGCATATCTGTAAAAAACAGTCTTGCAGATCACTCATCGCTGTGTAGCGGCTCAAAGAATATATTCACAAAATCCCTCGGATCCATTGGGCCCTCCTTTGTAACTCAAGCCCTTGAATCTCATGAGTGGAAGAGCAAGATCCTGTAATTAGACGTCCGGAGCAGTTCTTGGAGATCTGAACCCCGATAAGAATGGACACCTCAGTCGCCCTTGGACAAATCAATTCGATACACAATCGCCCTTGGCTTCAATGTCACAATCGCCCTTGGCACGTGTGTTGTATCCACTGCGTTGTGTCAGCACTGGCGGATGTGCTCTGTGTTGTATCAAGGCGCCTCCGTTTCCAGTCCAGGATCAGACGGAGAACGCAGCGTGCGAACTAAAAGTAAGACAAACAACATTGGCTCGTGTTTGTCCCCTATTTTCGGGTACAAACCCAAGAGAGGCGGTCATATGAATTTTCTTGAGAGCAGAGTTCACAAGAGTTGGTGCAAAAGTGCAACCAAAAAGTCAACTGATCAGCATGATTGACTCCCGTGTGAGACCCCTCCAGCTGCTGAGCCGAAGATTTTAAAGACCTCTGCTGCCGAACCATGCACCATCTCAAGACTTACAAATTAATCTACAAAAGGACATATACAAACATTGAACGAGCAACACGCCCTGCGCAGCTGCCCGACAGCCACATCCACGACGGGCGAACGGATTTACATATGATCTTATGTATTAAATATATATATATATACACATTTTTTGGTTTTTTGGTTGGTGATATCTCACAGGTATTCCACATGCGGCTTGCTCGTTCCGTTCCACACATTCTTCTCAGGTCTACTAGTAGTAACATCCAAAAAGCACCAAAAACCTTCTTTAAAGAAAAAATGGCTTTTTGGACCCACCCTAGGTGGCGGTATGTCTTCTGCCTCCTTTGCTGTCCCGCTCCTCTTCACACCTCACCAGCAATTCTTCACTGGATTCTTCTGCAGGCCAAATCATCACATCGTCGAGGAGCTCCTCCAGCACCGTCGTCACCGGTCGCGTCGTGACTGTTCGTGACGGTTCGGTCAAACCGCTCCGAACAGACGGTAGCAGAACCGGGTCTGGCAGCACCCACCCCAGGACTGGTCAAGCTTGAGACCCTTGGTACCAACGAGTTACGTCTCATGGGTTTCTTCCGTCGTCCGATCGCTCCGAAATCCCAACCCCAGGACATGGTTCCCTTGACATTGCCAGGGCAAAGGACCTACTAAAGGACCTACTATCCTACTATGCGTCCCAGAAGTCACACTCCTCCAACAAAAGGCTACTCCGCGCCATTTGGAGGGCGCGTTGAAAATACGGAGGGCGGCGAAAAAGGAAAAGAAAAAGAATCGAATCCCTTCACGTTTCAGGACATGAGCCACCTCATCAGATTCGACCAGGGCGCTGGGAATTTGTGGCTTCGACCCGGCAACGACCCCACCTGCCGCGTGCGCTCAGGCGCATCAAGGACCCGCAGGGACGCGGCCAAGGCACCAGCCTCGAACCAGGCAGCTCGGAGCGACGGAGCCGTCGCGATGGAGCCGTGGACACGTTCATTGGAGGAAGGATTTAGGAGATAGAAGTGGCACAAAGTGGCACAAAGCATGGAGCAGTGAAGACAAAGCATTGAATTAGACCAAATGTTTGATGTGTTGAACACTGTGGGGTCAACTTGTAGAGAGAAACTCGAAAGAATCAGAGGGATCATGTGTGTTGCCTCTCTGTGCATCATTCAGAGTTGTGCATTTCGAACGACGTTGGCCTTTGAAGCCTTTGCCGCCAAATTGCAAAAGAAGGACACTTCCATTGCTAGAGGGGGTGCTGAAGGGGAGACAAAACAACGCCCACTCGGCAAGGCGTTTTCAGAGTTCGATGCCGATGCTGTTGACCGGCTGCACCCGCTCGGAACTGTCAAACATGGCAGCCAGAAGATTCTTTGGGGAATTCACATCCCCCAAAGCGGCTAGAAAAGGACGTGGAAAATAGACCCCCTGGAAGACAAGTGTCCTCTAACAAACAGGTGGTTGTCCACTTCCATGATTATTTCAAGTGTAGACCAGCCTGCCCCCGAAGACCACCAGCTGGGGCCCCGAGCTGCTAGGAAAGCATGTGGAAAGCCATGCTGGCGAGGTGCCGAGGTGTCAATTGATCCACAAGCAAAAACCCGACGAATGTAAGACAGCCACCAATTGGGGGAGGTATACAATGTGTGCAAAAAGGTTCATCAAGGAGCTCGTTCCAAAGGATTTCTAGAATGGAGACAGAAAATGACAGAAACACCACTGTGAAGCCGTGTATCACCCAAAGCCGTCTTTTCGAAAAAACGATCACCTGCTTTTGAACCTCCCAATGATCTGCCCATCACACCCAAAAGCCACGGACTTCGCACCTGGACTTCGGGCTCTAGCATAGCCAGCTCTAGAATGAAGGTCGCCAAGCTGATCCAATACCCAGCCTGGCGAGCTTCTTCGCAGATCCGGGGGGAACCAGAAAGTGTGAGGTGACCTCGCAAAACCTCCCGCTTTCAGAAACTCGGCAGTGCCACGTGCAGAACCGAACAATGCAGCAAGGTGCGGTCCGGACTTTCCGCACCCGCAGGCGAGACTTTCCCGGCGCGTCGACAAGTCTGGTTGGCCACGAAGTCTCCGAAGTCGGCGTGAACCGAACGGTCTCCAAGTCATGTTCGAGCGTTCAATCCTTGTACTGTTCTGCTCCAGTCCTCCAGAGTCTCCAGATTTGCCCATGGCGGAGCCTGGTCTCCTTCTTTTTGAACATCATGTCTCGATCCGGAACTCCTCCAATCCCGTCCCAGCCCTTTGATGGCCACCAGCGACATGCTCCACGTCTACTGCTCCACCGCTTGGGCCTCCTTCGCCGCCTTCTTCGCCGCCTTCTCGCTGTACCCCCCGCGATACGCCACGTGACACTCCGGCAGGGTGGCCCAGACCGGGCCCGGCCGCCGTTCGCCAAAGTGCCGGCTGCGGTAGTCGTGCATGGCGGGCGCCTCCCGGGCAGCCGCCAGGAAGGTAGACCAGGCAGCCAGCGTCGCAGGCGAGGCAGTCGGCGTCTGGGCCTCCTGACGGGGTGGTAGCTAAACGGTGAATTCCAGGGTGGAAGTCTGAATGAGGTGAAAGATGCTGGTGATACAACCAAACGACTCTGAAGTGAACAAACCATGACAACCCCCCTGGCCCTTCGCAGATCTGCAAATGAGTCGCCTGGAGGAGTTTCAACTGCTCCAGCTTGGGCCCAGGATCAGCTGAAGGTGCCTTTTCCAGCAGAAAGTTCGCGTGGTGCACCAGGAGGCCCTCCGGCAAGGGCCCCGAAAAGGCCATGGAGGAGGCCCAAATCTCACTGGGCCACCTGACGAGGAAGTCGCGTTTTCGAGTCGTTTTCGAGTCATGGAACGTCCAGGAGCGGGAAGGACCGGAGCTTGAAGGAATCGGATGTGAAGAGAATCTTTTTTCGGACAAAAGGAGCAGAACACATCTGTTCGCAAAACGAAGTGGAGAAGTGGTGTTGAGTGGTGTTGAGTGGTGTCGAAGTGGAACATTGACCAGAACATCGTCACATATCGTCACCTGAAACACAGGCCCCACCCTTGAAGTGGAGCGGTGCGATGGAGAAAACGCACCGATCAAAAGGGGTGATGTTCAAAACCCCCGACATGACATAGTAAGTAGGGGAAGGTTTTACCTCTATTGGTAAAGGTCAGGGTCTCAAGAACGCCCCTTGGCCCACTTTAGACCCCACATGAACCAACCAAAAATTCACTCTTGAGACCCCTCCCAGTCCTGTCCCATCTCAAGCCGAACTCTTCCGCCGCATGGCCCGAGTAGAGGGAGTTGTTGACCACCCGCTGATCCAAGGCTTGCGTCCGGCTGATCTCACTGTGCACGTACTCCCAGAAGCCTAGCACCCACAGGGTCATCATGGAGCCTGCTCGAAAGGCCTGGGGCAGTTGGGTTTAACCAACCCAAGGGCTCCAAGTGCCTCCCCTCTAAACCGCCCCCAAACACCTTCTCAGAGGTTAGTTGGAGTCGTCAAAAAGAACTCCTAACCCTCAGGAGCCTCCCCATTCAGCCCTTCGCATGCAACCCCCCGTGTCCCCCATGTCTTTGTCCGAAATGCTCACGCTCGCGCGCGTTCGTCGGCCTCGTGAGGCTGGCGTGTTCCGGATAGCCATGAAACCGATGTTGACTCCCAGATCTTCGAACTCCTTCTGAAAGATCATGTCCACCCCACCAGCCATGCAGTCCTGTTTGGAGGGGAGGCCCCTTGGAGGCCCCTTGGTATCGTCACGGAGTGGCTATGCACCGACCGAGAAGCGTACTAGTATTTTTGGCGGGCTGGGGACGGTGCATTCTTCGACGTGTCCTCAAATCAATTGAAAAGTGGGACCTACCAGGTCAGTTTCTGCTAAAGTTTTTCAATGAGGCTTTGTCAGACTATACAAAAACATGACTCATGAGGTTTTCAGCACCAGGTTTGGATCTGGGTCAGACTGGATCAGCACGGGGAGTCCATGTGCGACATGAAGTATGTCATGGGGTGCCCAGAATCCATCAAGAAGTCGGCAATCGGGAGAGGAGGGTTGGCGTTTCTCCTTCGAGAAGGCGGGGTTTGTCCACCTGCAGGACCTGGGCATAGCTCTGTCACCATTGTTAGGAGGGTTGAGCTTCGCCACTGGAAGACTAAAGGATTCCTCTATGAAGCGATAGCAGCGCCATGGACCGTTCATCTGTCCTCCACAATGTGCGCGATTGGCTGAAAGTATTGCACATCCACATCAGTGAAGAGAAAAACCTGCCAAAGAAGGAGTTGAAAAATCCCTCCTGTGGAAGCCTGTGGAAAGAAAATCTGACCGCTTGCCCTCCGCAAGGCTCCTGACTTCATGACTCTTTACGGGTGGAAACGGTGCTCATCGACTATCTCCCACACAATAAAAACTATGGTATTGAGGCAGTTCCCTTCTTTGGAGAAGTGGAAGACCACTGACCACTGCGACCAATGAGTCTGAACAAAACAAAGCTGTGACTACCCCCTAGCCTTCAAAGACCATTAAGAGAATGGTTAACATGGTTTTGTAGTCTAAAACAATAATTGCTTGGTAAAGACCATTAAAATTTTTAAAACCATGGTTGTTGGACTGCGAGGGTATCCGCACCTCGTCCTCCGCCACCTCGTCCAGCGCCTTTTGAATCTTGGCCGATTTGTAAAGATAGGTGGGCATGCCTCCTCCCGCACCTGGTGAGACACAAGGATGTACACTCCTTGAAACTATGGAAGTGGAAAACCCCCCCTTTTAACCACAGAGACCGGATTTGGTCGATAGACCAGGTGAAACGAAACATCCGTTTTCATTGGTCTGCTCTGCTTCACTGCCGATCCAGTTTGGGGCTGCCAAAACAGAAGAACGGCCCCCCTTGGGACTGGCCTCGCGCCGAATCCTCACTCCTTGCTATGTCTCTTAAAAAGTGAACTCCTAAACCCCGCACTTGCTAAAGAATCAACCAACCATCTCAGACTTGTCATGAGCAGCATCATGCTTCTCTTTTTTTCAGGGTGGTCCATATGTATGTGCGGTGTCTAAACGAAAAATATAGGCTATATGGGGTGTCCAGGTTGCCCTTCAGAAAGCTGCCCTCTCGTTCGTTCGGCTTCAGGATGAACGAGTTGCATTGGATGCGAACGTCATTCTTGACATAAGATTCTACACGCACCTAGCTGAAGAACACCTACAAACCCTATTTTGACTCAGAGAGGTCATCTGCAGCTAGGCCACGGTTGTTTCCTTTCAGGTCATCCAGCAAGTCCTCCTGCAATTGAAAAGCTTTTGCAGCACCCGAATCTTCCATTGAAGCAACCATGTGATCTCGCAGCGGTACGAAGTGACGGTCATAAAAGAAGAAGACCTTCATGGTGGCGGCCACCGAGCTGATTGAAAGGCCACCGAGATGGCCTTCCAAGCTCTGAAATCCTTTCTTCAGCTGACCCGGCCCACCACGCCAGGCTTGAAGCCGAAATGAAAGCCTGGCATGCATGCCCTAACCCAGTCTGAGTCTTCAGGATTGCCCAAATCCCTCACGTTCTCCTGGGATCATTGATTTGTGGAACTCAACTTCAGGTTGAACCATGCTCAATACTCAAATCTTGGACGTTCTACTGCAACCACACCAGCCACTGGTTCGACTTCAAGTATCGGCTTCAATGATTGATATCCATGGCGGGGTTGTTGTGGGAAAGAACAGTCGCCGATGTCCCCAATCAATTCGAAGTGCCGAATGGTATTGACCCCTTCTGTAGGTCACGAAGCAGCACCCACTGAAGCTAGAACATGAGCAGCACATGTGTGCGAGAGCAGCCTTGGGTTTCAGACATCTTGAACGGAAGACCACCTTGGTGCGACCCAAACCGCACCCCCCGTCCGTGTTCACCACCGAAACAGCCCGTGTTCACCACTGGTTGCGACCAACGTCCCACCTGCTCTTCATGACACAAGTGCGCCGTCAGACCTCGATCGAAGCACATCGCTTCAGTCGAACAGGCGCTCGCGGTCTCGATGTCGCGACCACCCGTGGGCGAGGGTCGAAGCTTTTGTGTTTCAGGACACGATGGAAAACCAGTGAAGCCAACCGAAGTAATCTCATGATGGGAGATGTGGCAGCCACTGTTGACTTGGCATAGGCCATGCTACGTAACACACTGCCCTTCTCAGTCCTTCTCTGTCACGTTGTCATGCTTCTGTCCACCGGGTCAGAAGCTCAGTGTTTGCACAAATATGGCTTCTCATTTTCGCTTTGGGGAGACCAGCCTGGTCCCCAAACGAATCAGATTTCTATGTCTCCCCTTCCTCTTACGCCATGGCCCAGCCTGGTCCAGCCTGGTCTCGCTTCGCGACAAATCGAGTGCCCCCGCTCCGCAAGAACGTCAGGGGCGTCGGGAGCCCCACCACGTATCGGAGCCTGGCCGCGGCTTTGGTTGAGAGGGGGTCTTCGAAGAGGGGCACTCTCCTGACTACAAAAGGAAAAATATGAAACATTGTATTCAAACCCAAGGGGCTGGGGGTTGCTCCAGTTTGATGCAGAAATCAGAAAGAACATCTCTGTCCGACCCACCGACTCCAGCCGAAGCTGCTTTCATTGAGACCAAAAACACAAGTCATCCGGATGAAATCAAACATTCAGCAACTGCCGATGTCGCGCTGACCAATTGCCAAAAAATGCCAAAGGTGTGCTGTAGGTGCATCACGGGATGAAGCTGTGAAACGGTTCACGCAAGGTCAATGCAAACATCATCTTGGCTCAGTCAGCGATTTCAAGTTCAAGGACATGGTTGACCGAGAACCCTGCAGATTAAAACGAAAATGGCAGATCATCCAAAAAAAACTCATGAGAACCGAGTTTACGATGATATCACTTAGCAAACACGTCCCCAGAAGAATCCCTAAACTGATGACATCGATGAATCCCATCTATTGTCATCTATTAGATGGTCATGTAGTTTGCCTCTCACCTCACACATTCCCACAGCCCAGATCCATCGGTCCACTCCTCCCCAGGATGTCACGCTCCACGCGCAAGATCTGCAGCATTGGAACCTGACCCTGGCAGCAAGGCGTCTGAAGAAATCTGGAGGGACCTGCCCTGGGAGGGATGGAAAACACCGACCATCTGCAGCGGACCAAGTTTCAGAACGCATTGGTCAACGGCGTCAAAACGAGGTCCGAGATCCCGAAATCCCAGGCCCCAACCCACACACGAACGGCTCGCACCCCTCGAATCCGAGGCACAAGAGACTCCGCAAAAGCCGCTGCTTGGTCTGAAGCCGAGGGGGGGAAATGAACGCAACCATGAGCGCCAGAAACAGGCTTTGATGGTCTCATAGCGACCAAGAGCCGTCATGCCCCCCTGTCCCTCAGGACCAAAAGCTCCTCAACGAAACTTCGCCCAATACCTCCCCATCCATGCCACATAAAAATTCATCCAACTTGCGTATGCCACGCAAAATCTGCACTGTATGATCATTACCTGCCCCTACCACGAAATCCTCAACGTGCAATCTGTGATACAGGATCTTCAAAGAACAAACTGGTTAGACTGCCGTAGGGCCTCTTGCCTCTAAACGGGTTCCTCGTAGATTACTTTTGTTTTTAACCGGTATCCATAAAATATGTTGCCTCTCAACCAGGCACCCTCAATGCTGCAGGTGTTTGCTGCTGGGGGGGCCACGACAAATCAGGTATCATCATTACGCGCGCTTACCATGAAATCACTGACTATGTGAGTTTGCTACGGCCAGAACATCTCCACACTGGGAAGGCTATCCAAAAGCAATATGTGCCACCAACAAGGTTTCCAAAAGCAACCTCTTTTGCAAAGTTCCAATAAAGTGTAATCCCTGCTTTTGGTGGCTACTCGCAACACAAATGACTCTTCTGGAGTTCTTCCCGTAGCACAAGTTGCTCTTTGGAGCCCTTCCCATAACAACGGTTCTCCGGGTCGCCCTTAAGCCGGCTCGCGGTAGACAATTTTACCTTCAAACCGGGTGCCCCAGGACCATTAAACCAGCCCCCCATGAACAATTTTCCTCCAGCAAAAATGCAATTCCAATCGTTGTTTCCCAAGCATGGGATTCGAATCGAAAAGTTTCTCTGCGCGATCGCGGTTGTTGTCTCAAAATAGTCTACGTTCACTGGGTCCAAGTAAACCAGCCATGTTGCCTGAACACCAAACCCCCCATAAATCATGTGCCATTATGTGCCTTTAAGCCGGCTCCCCGTAGACCATTTTGCCTTTTGACTTGCTCCCTGTACACCATTTTGCCTTTGAACTCGACCCCCATAGGCAATTCTGCCTTTTAAAACCGGTTCCCGTAAACCTTATTTCCTTTCAACCAACTCCCTGAAGGCATTTTTACCTTAAACCGGCACCCGTTCACCATTTTGCCTTCCCCAAAATCAACTTTGCCTTTAAACCAAATCCCCAAGGACAATTTTGCCTTTAAGCCGGCCCGCCCTGAACCCTTTTGTTTTGCAAAGAATGCACGCCAATCGGCTTTGTCGTGGAATGCTGAATTCTCGCTGCCGATGTCTGCTCCTGTCTCCGGTCAGAACTCCGGCGGAGACCGTAGAGCTCAAAAGCCACAGGGTATAGAGCTGCTGGTATCCAACGCCTCCTCCACTGCGATCTCCAAAAATCGAAAAACAAACAAAGCAAGTCCACCTGCCTGGCGATCCTCTCAAGGATGCCGCTTGCAAGCTCGACTTGCCAAGGCGTGTTCCACCGACATATAAACACCTTGACAACCTCAAGAGCTTTCATTGGTCGCCTGATACCGACCAATGCACCTGCAAGCGCTTGGCAAAGCGCACGCTCACCTTGGTTGCCCAAGCCAGGTAGGTGCCACGCGTGTGCTTGCCAGCTTTCAAGAGGTAGCCCTCCACAGCGTATGCCTCGAAAGGCCGGCGGTCGTTCCAGCTCCTCAACGACCCCTTCTTGCCAATGACATCGTAGACGTACAAGTGGCCACGCCGCACTGCACCTGCGTACGTTTTCCCGCTGGCCGTGTTGGCGGCAAAGTCCGGGTGAATGCCCAGAAATCATCCAGGGCATTCGCACCACGCCTGTGGAAAGGCTGCGTGCTCGCAGCCACGCAAAAGGGATTGAACTTCCTCCCAAGGCCTTGCATGAAAGCGTTGAACTCGTCCCACAGCACCTCCCGCTCGTGAAGGTCTTGGCTCCTCCGCGGCTTCTTCAGGGACTCTCCATCTTCATCAGCGAGCTCGTGGGTTTTTCAGAACAAGAAGCTCCAATATCGGGGCAGTGGCCACGGTCATCCACCACGAGAGGCACCAACGCCAGCGGCTCGCTTTGCCAATGGGCTGAAAAGTATGCGCAGCCCGGGGAAGGAGCGAAAAGGTGTCCGAGAACGCGCGCCCGTTTCTCTGGCGTTCAACTTGAGAACCACGCGCTCGTGGGATGGTGGGAAGAAGGAGACATGAGCGAGGTAGTATAGTAGCAGCAGCAGTAGCAGTAGCAGTAGTGGTATATATTCTGCTTGCGTCATGACGTCGTCCTCGTCACCGTGGGAATATGTATAGTGCGATGTGACGCCGAGGGGTGTGACGGTCACGCGACGTCGACGCGACGGCGACGCGACGCCGAGACGTTGCAACGCGAGTCCGCGACCTGACGCTGACGCGACGGTGACGCGTCGGCGACGCGACGCTGACGTGACGAGACGACGCACCGGCGACGTGACGCGACGTGACGCTGACGTGACGCGCACGACGACGGACGCGACGCGACGACGTGACGGGACGTGACGCTGACGCGACGCGAAGACGGACGCGACGTGACGCGCGTGACGTGATGCTGACGCGACGCGACGTAACGACGCACCTACCCGGCGCGGAGGCGGACCGTCATGGAAGTTTCCGACGCTCGAGTTTTTGAACCGCAAAGCCACGCAAAATCTGCGCGGTATCATCATTAGCTGCCCCATCTTCTTCAAAGAACAATCTGGTTCTCTTGCCTCTAATTAATCTGGCTCCTCGTAGATTACTCTTGTTTTCAATCGGTATCAGTATCCATAAAAAATTGCGCCTCTCAAACAGGCACCCTCGGTGTTTGCTGCTGGGGGGGCCGCTACAAAATCAGGTATCATCATTACGCGCGCTTACCATGAAACCACCGACTATATGTGAGATTTCTACGGCCAGATCGCGGTTGTTGTCTCAAAATACTAGGAGCGTTCCACTGGATGTATTTTCACTGGGTCACTGGGTCCAAGTAAACCAACCATGTTGCCTGAACACCAAATCCCTCATAAATCATCTGCCGTCATGCGCCTTTAAACCGGCTTCCCGTAGACCATTTTGCCTTTTGATTTGCTCCCCGTACACCATTTTGCCTTTAAACTGACCTCCATAGACAATTCTGCCTTTTGACCGATTTCTCTGCCCTTTAAACCAAATCCCTGAAGGCATTTTACCTTAAACCGGCGCCCGTTCACCATTTGCCTTCAGGATTGACAAGGGCATTCGAATCGGATCAACCGTTTACCTTTGATTCACCCCCCTAAAATTGCCTGAAAACCGCATCCCCAAGGACAATTTTGCCTTGAAACCGGCAGGCCCTGAACCATCTTGCTTTAGCGAAAACTGCATGTCAATCGGCTTTGCCGTGGAATGTTGAATTTTTGCTGCCGATGTCTGCTCTTGTCTCCGGTCAGAACTCCGTATCCAACGCCTCACTCTCCTCCGCTGCGACCTCCAAAATCCAGGTAAGTCCTGCTTGGCGATCCTCTCAAGGATGTCACTTGCAAGCTCGACTTGCCAACGCGTGCTCCACTCCTCGGCAACCTCAAAAGCTTTCATTTGGTCGCCTGACACCGACCAATGCAAAGGCGTCGCGAGCGACAGCCTCTTCTTGCGCTCTGCGGCCTTGCAGTCCTGCAAGCGCTGGCAGAGCGCACGGTCACCTTGGCCCAAGCCAGGCAGGTAGCCGCCACGCGTGAGCTTGCCTTTCAAGAGGTAGCCCTCCACAGCGTATGCCTCGAAAGGCCGGCGGTCGCTCCAGCTCCTCAACGACCCTTTCTTGCCAAGGACAACATAGACGTAGAAGTGGCCACACCGCACTGCACCTGCGTACGCTTTCCCGCTGGCCGTGTTGGCCAAGTCCGGGCGAATGCCCCGAAATCGTCCAGGGCAGTCGCACCACGCCTGTGGAAAGGCTGAGGGCTTCCTCCCAAGCCCTCCATGTTACATGTTCCTTGCATTGTAAGTGAGGTGGACGGCCCGAAACTTCCAAGCTCGTTAAAGTCTTGGCTCCTCCGCGGCTTCTTCAGGGCCAGCCTCCTCTGCTCCTCCATCTTCATCAGCGAGCTGAAGAAGCTCGAAGAAAGGGGCAGTGGCCACGGTCATCATTCGCTGGCCTCTCTTCCCAAGACAAGCTTTTTGTCTGGCACCCAAACGGCGCCGAAGGCTTGATTTGTTTCGGGCAGATCGGCTTCCAAACCCAACCCCACTGGACGGCGTCGGTGGGCTGCTTTTGCTTTGGGTTGTGGGGGCTCGCGATCGACTACGCGCTGACATTGTTCAGGTCGAAGTATCCGGACAGGGCAAAAAGGGGAAGGAGCGAAAAGGTGTCCGAGAAGGCGAGACGCGAGCCCGTTTCTTTGGAGCCCCCGTCTGGCCGCTGCGTTCAACTTGAGAAGCACGCGCTCTGAGTTTCCGACACTCGAGTTATTGAACCACGCGTTGCCCACTGCAGAAACCTAATTTCAGACCACGATATCTGCGCTCCACACGATATCTGCACTTCAAGGGACAAGAAACTGCGCCTGCCACGAAACCTACATTTCAAGGTCCACAAAACACTGCGCCAACGAAATCTGCACCTCAAGGTCCACAAGTGCTGCGCACTTCAAGGCCCACACAGCATTGCACCGCGCCTGCCACGAAATCTGCACCACAAGGTCTACAAAGTGCTCCGCATGCCACGAAATCTTCAAGGTCCAAAGTACTGCGCCCGCCATGAAATCCACATGTCAAGGTCCATCAAGCGCTGCGCCTGCCAGATATCTGGGCTGCTTAAATCTGCACATCAAGATTCATATCGCGAAGCCCTGTTATCAAGATGCAAAAACGCACTTTCGCTCAAGACTTCATCTAAATTCTAGAAACGCGCCACATGTCCAACAGCCACGATTCGAAGAGCACCCGCTCGGGCCCAACAGATTCTGCGAGCCTGCGCAGTCGAAATGCACTTCGAAGATCTTGATGGGAATGAATGCTCTGAAAATAGCAGACACGCCGGTGAGCAGTAAAAAGAAGAGTTAAAGCTCAAAGGGACTATAAAAGAATAAAAAAGATTTAGCCAGAATAGAGAGTAAGCGTAGCCATAGTCAGGCTCCACCATCAGGTCCAAGCCCATCACATGAGGACCCTCTGAGCTGTGGTTCACCACAGAGCTTGCGAGCGTTGATTGGGCTACTGCCTTTCCAGGCGCCTACTCCAGCTGTTCTGTCCAGCTGTTGTCTGTCCAGGCGCAAACACGCAACCAGCTCCTACTGCAGCTCTTGCCTTTCCAGGCTGCTAAAGCCAGGTAAAACTGAAAGTCACGCCTCCGCAGCGGCCCGGCCGGACTGGAGCCTTAAACGCAATTGCATTGTCGCTTGCATTCCAACTGTATTTTCGCTGTCTTCGTCCTTCCAAAAGCAAAAAATAAGCTGGCCGGCAGTGTTTTGTTGGTGGCTCCTGAGCCCGCACTCGGCAGCCATCAAAAGACTACAATGCTTGGGCCGACACTATAACATACATCTGCTGTATAGTGCCAGAGCACTCTGACGCCCACCCCATGAAAGATTAGGCCCTAGGCCTTTCACCGTTCAGTTTCACTTTGCTGCTGCGGACCCACCTATTACAAGAACCTGCTGGCTGGTTTCCTTTATTAGGTGGTACCTGCTTTGCTGTTTATCTTTCGTTGCTGGTTCATTATGCGTTTGCTTTGCAATGTTTCTTGGTTGGAAGAAAGGTAAAGGGCAACTCCTCTATGTTGCAGACTTTTGTGATTGTCTGCATGTGGTTGAATTTGGATTTTAGCAAGAATTTATCAGCCCAGAGTTGCTTTCTATCCAGGAACTTTCCAAACACAGCAGTGCCACCTATTAAAAGCAACTACTGGCTGGTGTCCTTTATTTATTATGTGGTATGCCATGGTACGCCAGGTGGGATGAAATGCGGTTCATTAAGATTAATTAAGATCATGGTGAACCCAGCCAAGTTGTGAGATACACGCGGCTCATCAATTACGCAGCTCGCACCTACAGGGGTACCCTCCAAGTTCTCTCTGAGTGCCTCATGAACAACAAGCTTCCGGTGAACTGCAAGAAAGCCTACGTGCTAGCCGCCCAGCTGAACAACCTCCTAGCTCAGGCTCACCCTTGAGATCCTCACCTTGCATCCATTGCAGGTTCGCCACTGACCCCCTTGTTTGGCCTCCTCATCCCCCCTCGCTTCGCTCTTTGCAACATCCGACGTCCCAACCCGGGTCATGTGCAGGAGGATCTGCTTCCACTCCTTGTCCGGATGGTCACTGAAACCTCAGCACTCGACCAGGTCACCTGGTCTGGCCGGCGACCAAGGTATGGGGTCGTTGCAGCATCTAATCTTCCTCTAAAAAATCCACCGGCTTCTACATGCAAAGAGAAATGCTGTAGGCCTCCAAGCACACTGTTTTCGGGCTTTAGAAGCCAGGAGCCTTGTGCCAACCCGGTATCAAAAGCCCTTCACTTCCAACATCTTCAAACCGGCCTCCTCCGGATCCAGCCCCTCCAGCACCCGAAAGCTCTCTGAGGCCACCCTCCATCGGTTTTGAACTCCGTACAAACCTTGGTTGACAGAGCGGAGGAGTGGACTTCCGCAGGGTGAGATGGACTGAAGGCATCTTCAGCCATGTCAGGTGAAACTCGCCATGAGGGCGGCCACGCGGCGCCAACCCAAGTTCAGTCAACTCGTTTTGACATCAAAGCAGTCGACTGGTCTCGTCCACTCATCTCGGATCCGTTTTTCGCGCCGTGTTGAAGACGATCCCGGTGATATGGGCCCTCACCACTGCCAGTAGGATCACTTGCAAGCAGCCCTGTGGCAGCTGCTCTTCACCTAGAGCCCAAGTCTGGAAGGATCTCTAAAAGTTCAGAGCAAAACGAACACTTCCCCCGTGGCTGCCGTTGATACCTTTGCGGCGTTCATCTTCCTCCTTCCAAGAGAGGATCAAACAAACACATGTTCTCGTCCAAAGAAAGTGTGAACCAATCAACACTTGAACAGCCCTCCCCGCCAAAAACTGCTACAACGACCTGCAAATCTTTTTCCCCCTGCCTCCATACGTGGCAACCAGCCTGGACGGCGAGAAGCAATAGTATTTCCGTGAACAATCGGCCAGAAGCTGGAGATCTCTGCAGTGTGAACTTCCAGTGCTTGCATGTTCTTTAGCCGGAGCCCTTCGCAGCTCTTACATCCAGCGGCCACGCAGCGGCCTGTCAATGTTGAGGGCAACCCCATGCACCTTGGAAGGGCCCGGCTACAGCAAGGGGTCTGCCCCCCACAGCTGGAAAAATTGGATGGAAAGTCTCTTGACCCTCGAGAAGAGCTTGCATCATCGTGCATCCCCACCTTTGTCATCAAGTGGGCTTTACGACATCTTCCTCTGGGCATTCTGCTGGGTCAGATCACTTGTTTGTCGTGACATCACAGCACTTGGTCACCCCGCCATTGATTCATCTAGGCCAAGTGTGCTGAAGGCCTCCAAAGCTCGCACAGAGCTTTATACCGCAACATCCTGTAGCAAATAGATATTTGGAACATCTCCAAAAATGCTTGACATGGCTTGACATGTTCCATGTTCTACCCACTACGGAAATAAGTTCAACCATCTTAAACCTCTTCGCAAAAGAAACAAAACCCTCGGTTCATACTCGTGGCCACATTGCTTGTTGCTAAATCCAAGAGGAGAGGATATTCCAATCTTTTGTAAGCCATCAAGAAGCTTGCCAAGTGCTCCAAAAAGAGATTGAGAATCGACATAGGGAGCCATAACCATTTGCAACCAAAAAAGCAAAAGACCCTCCAATCACAGCCTGTTTCTCTCTTGAAAACCCCCCCCAAATAAACGGTGTCTCTTCTCCCCCTCCGTGAGAAGACTCTGCCACGAGCGCGTCTCGCTGTCGACGGTCAACGGCGACGAGTGGACACTCGCTGTCGACGCGACCTGCTGGATCCAAAGGATCAAGTCGGCTCGCTGTCGGATGGATAAAGCCTTCACCTGAACAGCCGAGGAGAATCGGCTGAACAGCCGAGTTCTCAGGTCGCGGCTGAGCGAGCGAATTACGGGAGGGAAATAGACCAAAAGCCCTGTGTGTTGTTAGGAGGTCTCCCTAGTGAAAGTGGAACCCACAATTAGAAACAACTATAGTAGGTTTTCTACAGACAGGAACGGGCAGGGTCGGGGGGAAGGATGAAGCGATCGGGAAGCAGCAGGATGAAGCTAGGCGAACGAGCCGGGTGAAGCAAGTAGACACGCGGAACTACAGTAGATGAGGAAGTGCTGCAAGTAGAGGATCGAAACCGAAAAATGGATATGATAGCTGATAAAAGTCATTGGCACACGGCAGATTCTCCTTTGGGGTCCGGCTCGAAGGTTTTAAAAAGGATAGTGTGCAAACATAATGTGATCTTTCTACAACCGAATGGATTGGGGCTCGAAGGTCAAGTATGTGGTCCAATCGGTGATCTTTTCCAATCCATCACAGGTGACATCTGTGTGTTGCTCCGCCAGGACGACTCGGCATGACCAGCAGGACCAGCAGGACCGTTGCACGTCGCGTCGCTGGCGGTGCAGGATGTCTACCACAGACGGCAGGACCAGTAGGACCAATGTGCCTCGAAATTCCCCAAAAAGCCCTGGACTCTTGGTCAGGCATGACTTTCACCCAAAGTGCCACTCAATGGCCGCCCCGAGCCAAGTGCCACTGAAGCCATCAGCACAGCTATGCAGCTTTAAAAAGAAATGAAAAGGACAGCCCAGGGCCCCCAGCCACATGATGAGGTCTAGGCCTCTTTAGCCACGGTCGAAACGGCCCGAGGGTTATTGGAGCAAAGCAAGGCAAAGGTTCATGACTGACTGGTGCAACAAGGAATGAGGGTGCTAAGATATCTCTAGGGTGGATCATTCCGCCATTCCCTACTAAGCACCAGTCTGATTAGGAGGATTGATAGCTGATGAGGTTCAAGCAGCTAAGACAACCCAGAGACAAAACGAGAAACAATGTTCGGTTTCGTTCTTGATAGTTCCATCAATTCAACACACAAAGTATATCAAAATATCGGGTGATAAGATATGGAGGTTTGATCAATTTTTGGTCAGTAAGCTTTGTAGCCAGGAATGTCACAAAATGTTTCATGTCTTCCGAGTACCCACTTTGATGAGTGCAATTGTTAAGCAAACTCCACAAAAAGACTGAGAGTTTCCATTGAAGCTACTCGAAACCCATCAAAATGTCAGCCTCCCTGTCACACGCTCGGTGTGGCATTTCCGGAAGGTCAGCTATGGAGCGGACCGGTCTGAAAACAACCGCGACCCCACCAGGCAAGAATCCCGGTTCGCTGGTCATCGGAACAAGTACAGGATGCATCTGAAAGCTTTTCAATCTGCTTTATGAAGGCTGAGAGCGAGAGTTGGAAGAAGTCCATATGAACATTCCACAGCATACAGGCTTCCAAGATGGTGTGGATTTCTTCCTACCGAATCTTCTTCATGACCGGGCATATGTTTCTACATGTACCGCAGAGGATGACAACCTGCTCCAACTCCTCACAAATACTCATGCCAATCCAAAGGTCCTTTCAGCATGGCTACACAGCATTCAGGATGCTCCAAGTTGCTGGGGTCAACCTTTTTTCCTCAGTTTGATGAAGACCAGCCTATGTATGCGTGTATCTTCAAACATCAAACATGTCATTCAAAAAGGAAAGCTCCGAAACCCACCGGAGCACCGCATCTCCCTCCCCACGCCAGAACCGCGGTCTGCGACGCACCGTGCCTTTCCCGCTCGGAGAGATCATACTGTGCCCGCAGCACAGTGTCCACACTCTCGGCCATCGTGGCCTACACAGTTTCTGCGCACGATGCGATGCGCCGACGATGGCACACGCGGGCGCGCGAAAAGGATTCCAAGAGGGAGAGGTTCCGAAGAAGGACGACTAATGACGAATTGTAGTTTACAGACATCGAAAGGAGTGCAAATGCTGCGAGAAAACGGTCTGGAAGTTGTGGGTATCCATGAACCTGAATAATTGAAACTGGTCGCTACTCCCGAAGATCTTTTCTATATAAGCACCCCTGGCACATCCAAAAGCCTGGGCTGTGAGGGTCGATATTTGAGGTTTTATCTCTGGCAGACAGAGATTGAACTGCAGGGCAGATGGCAATTTTGCAACATTATATAAATCATGAACCGCCATCTGCATGGAGAGGTGCAGCGGCCAGTTGTTGTAACCAGGGGCTGTGAACTAGCTGTTCATCATCACCAGAACGCAGTGAAGACACAACATAACTGCTAGAGGGTCATTTGAAGCCGCTAACAACCAATCTACAAAGAAAAGAAACGCTATCGTTGGAAACCAAATTTGAGCTTGCAAGCGGGTTAGGTCGGCCAGATCTGGAAACAGTGCAAAAGAATATGCAGGTCGGATCTGGTCGCTACCCCGGTTGCACCATGTTCCACCCTCCCAAGCTCACATCTGCAGGGCTTCGCCCTCAAACAAACCAATCATGTAGTAGAGTAGTAGACTCTGGATTCTATTTATTTCAACCCCGCAGGCATGAAGAGGTCTTGCAATCCATGCGTTGAAAAATAGAATCCAGAGTCCACAAATTGTTTTTTTGAACGGTTTGCCTTTGCAACATGGTCGAACGAGCGACGAAGTCCGCTCGGAAGCAAACCAGCCTCTAATGCTTCAGCATAGTCGGGTGAATTACTCTTGGCCTGAGCCAACGACCGAAGAGCCGGTGACTGGCCTGGCGAGAGTAGATAGATGTAGATAGTCTACAGCTGTGAAGGCACCCCCAAGATGGGAACGGCATATGAGATCATATGAGCATGGCATATACATGCATACCTAAAATATGGGAAGATCCTGGTTGTTAGCCACATGTCTCCTCGTCTTTTAATTCATGACATGTATATGTAATATATATATATACAGTATATATCTTGGCTTTGTCCAAGAGACTTGCAAGAACTTCGCCAGTGACGTTGTCGGTCGTTCGTCCACCTCCACAGGTTGTTGGTCGATTCGATCAAAAACACCCCTTGCGTCACAGTCGCGACAGTCCTCACCACATCACCCCAAACAGGCGACCCCACTCTCGGTGGTATGGCTTCGTCCAGCGCATCCCACGCCCCAGTCTTCGTCCTTTCCGCTGCCGTGCTGTCTCGCACCTCGCCGAGCAGCTCGCCCCAGGTGCCCTGAGCAGGTGCCACACACGCCACCGGCCACCACGAACAGCATGGAAATTCTGAAGATCAAGAGTTCAAATCAGACCATCGCGAGCAACGCACCAACACAGGCACCTTGAAAATCCCCTTCAACCACGATTTCTTGGCGGTGCAGGGGATGATGGACAAAACCGAGTCTGGAAGAAGAAGTGAAACATCTTGAATCATTTCAGGCTTTTCAGCACCCATCTCCAGCCCCAAAAGCACTTACAAAATGCCCAGCTCACCCAAGGCCTCGAACTTGTAGTTCTGTTGGTCAATCGAGTGCACCATGCCTCGCGAAGCCAAGCTCCCAGGAACCCCCCGGTCCGAACCCCACCCCCAGCCCACCAAACTTGCGGGGGTTGGAGGGCCCGCCGCACCCAGAACCCCTTCAGGCACCGCCGCCTTAAGCGGGAAAAGCACCGTGAAACCGACCCAAAAGAAAACGCCCCAGCGAGCGGTTTTGGTCCACCGAGCATCGCCGAGGAGCGAGTTCGCGAGGTTCGCGAGTTCGCCGCGCCTTCCACCCCTTTCAGAAAGGCACAACGACTAAAGAGTGGGTTCGGAGCCGTCCAGCTGCGGAGTCGATCTGTCGAGTTGTCGAGTTGTCGCAGCTTCGACTCCATCGGACCCCGCCCGACGGAGCGATTGAACCGTGCCGGAGACATTCCAAAACGCGACCAACTTGTTCAGAGTTTGGAGCAGTTTCAAACGAATGCCGTTTGCTCAGGTTTAAGGCTTAAAGACAGCGACTCACCGCGCGAGCAAAGTGTGGATTCTCCCGAAATGGGTCCTGACGCAAGACAACCTGGCTTCTGCAACATAAGCTTTGCCGCCGCACCGGGCAGCTAACGCTCCTTTCTTCGGATCGACCTGTATTGAATGGTTTCTGAGCCAGGCCTTTGCCATGGCATCTACAGTGCCTTCAACCTCCACCATGACGGTGTCAAAACCCCGGCACCCCGAAAAAGAGCCCACCAGAATCGATCGCAATGAAACGAATGAAACGATGAGGATTGCCACCCGGAAGAGGCACCTAGGGGTTGGACCCACCGCCAAGTCAGAAAGAATCATAAGTCGCAAAGTGGTTTCTTCAGAAATCACGCTGCATGCTTTTAAACAGGAATGTCTCTGCAATGATCGTTTGTTGCGGAGTTTGGGCGGAGATTGTTTGGGTATTTAAAAGGATGTAGTATTCCAAGACATGGCAAGCACGGCGCAAGCATGGCAGCCGTCTGCACACGTCTTCAGTGGTGGATAACCCGCTGAAAGCATTCATGACCTGGCCAAGCGACGCTGCCACGCAACGCTGCCACGCGACTTGGTCGAGAGTAGCCCCAAGTTCCACTCCTAGCAAGCTAGCAAGTTGGAAAAAAACAAAGCAACAGGCCCTTATTTTATGGTCTAGTCGGTCTCATGGTGGCTTCCATTTCTCTGCATGAAATTCTGTTTCGGTCACATAGAGAATTGGCTGAGTTCAAGATGCTCTTGCTGGTCAAAAGAGTGAAGAACACTGAATTCCTTCCCCGCAAAATCCTGCCCTCAAACAGAAACAATCTGCCCTCGGATTGGACTGAGAAGCGGATCAGCCCCCGAAATTGTGCCCCCCCCAAAATGCGTGTGGCTCGTTGTGCCGGGTCCAATTCCACCCTCAAATCCCGCTTTCGGCTCCACACGCTTCCAGGCGACCGCGAAAATCCATGACGCCGACCGCCGAGGCAGCTGCCTCCTTACCTCGGGCGCGAACGGCGACAAGAAGTGGGGACAATATAAAGTCCATGAAAAGTGGAGGAATGAACTCAACCCTCGAGGCCATCGCTATTAGGTTGGAAGAATGGTCAAGGTGACAGTCACCCGTCAAAGGGAGACGACTTGAGAGACGATTTGGGAAGGACATGGCAGGACTCTCGAAGGGTTTTTGGCAAAACAGCGGCAAACCAGTCAGGCCTGCTGGCCAGTTGTGACGTGCTCTTGCCCAAGTCACATTGGCAATCCCAGCTTCTTCGCTTCCGCCTTTGCTTCCTCAGAACAGCCCCTTGAATTCGCACGCCAAACATACCCAGGCATGCCCAGGCGTCTAAACCCCTTGTGCTGGCGATCTTGCTGCCTCGTCAACACAAGTTTCCGGTAGCTCCACCTACCTGAACCTCATGGATATTCCACTGATGTGTTGGAAGGTGACAAGATCACCTTTCATCTCATGTTAGACCTGATAGCCCTACGCACACACCAAAATCTCCCCAAAACGATGCCCTTTCAAGGACCGAAAGGAAAAAAGCACTCGTCCGGCTGGCAGATCTCGCCGGTCCTTGGAACCACCCCCCAGCTGCTTCTTGGGCTCTGGGCATTCCACCCCGACTCTCAGCCCAAGCAGCTGCGTAGTCCTTGAGCTTCTTCGAGGCCTCACCGTCCTTCATCAGCCAGGCCTTCTTCTGGTCGGTGGACCAAGCCACTCCTTGGCCCACGGGCATGCCCTGCTTGAAGACACTGCTCTGAACGGTCTCGAAGGGCCACTCCTGTCGGTCGCCACGTCTGAACACATCCCATTTACCGATGAAGTGTTTCAGGTCGAAGCGCGGTGTCGAACCATGTGGAGTTCCTGAGATTTCAGTATGATATCCACTGCAATGGTGTGTCCCCAGCATCAAAGCCACGAAATAGAAAAAGAATCTGGAACAACATCTGCAGAGCTGCCAAAGAAAAAAACACATATACATGTGTTTCGCGACATTGACAGTCTGCCTTGTTTCCCTTGGGGCCGGTGGCATAAGTCTGGATGCCCTCGCCCTCCGCGATGCCATTCTTCCAGCTGCCCACGAACTTCCCGCCATCACGGAACCAAAAAGAGCCATGACCATTCGGCTTGCCATCCTTCACTGAGGCTCAGTGATTCGGGCATTCACTTGATATTATGTATATGTATATATATAAATATTTATATATCTACTCTCCCGAAAACTAACATGGAAGTGGAAAACCGACATGTTAGTTCCAGGGAGTGTATCCGTGTGCCCAAAACCAGATCAATTATGACTAGTTGCCGCACCATGCCGCACCAAATCTTTGCAGCTCAACTGTCTTCGGGAAGAAAGAAATGTATTGAAACTGTCTAGCTCGATGTGAGGTATGTGCAGACATCAGGGAGCTGAAAAAATCCATGCGGACTCAACAACCTTGAAGATTGGACCCTAGAAAAATCCAGCCATGAACTCGCTCATTCCCCCACCCGAGCCCATGCGACTCCTTCCACGATCCAGTGTACTTGGAGCCATCATTGAACCATGCCTTGCCCTCCTTCCCGGGAGTATCGGGCTCGCCCTTCCCGTTCACGGGGCCGCAATAGGTCTTGATGTCCAGGTGGTGAACGTTATCGCCCTTGCAATCGGGGTCGTTCTTGTAGCTGTCGTGCATCTGCGGTCAGGGGTGCCCTCCACATGCAGAGTTGAGGAACAAATCTAATAACCTCTACATACCTCTCCTGAGTACTTGCATGTACTTGCCGGATGTGTCATTCCTCAAAAGCTCCAGACAGATTTCTCCCAATCGCCCTTTGATGGGATCCGCCACTCATCTTGCGGTGCCCCACACTTGCCACGAGTCCGCATCCCACTCACCCCGTCCACAAGGCGTTGCATGATGAGGGGAAGCAGAAAGAAACCTTTCGGGCTTCACTGGCGCCTTCTTTGAGCCCCTTCTGCTCAGTGGGTTGTCAGGAGTGAGGATTCCCGTGGAGGATGAGAACGCACCGGGCCCTTCTCTTCCTCCGCACCTTCTCTTCCAACTTCCAGACATCTATCTCCTGCAAGGAGCCACCCATCGAGCGTGCCGACAGCCCCAGGGCCACCAAGCCCAGCAAAAGGCCTCCCACGCGCAGCGGCAGTGGCCACGACCAAGCTGCAACACCTGAGATTTGTCGTTCATCGGGGGTGTTTGAGGCTGGTGAGGATGGTGAAGATGGAGGGACGAACAGAAAAAACACTCACCAGGCGGATCCAAAGACATAGATTAAAAGGTCAAAAAGTTTCTGATACCATGGTTCTGAAACGATGTTTCGGAAAGAAAGGCTTCTTCGGAAACGACGGATGCTTCGGAAACTATATACACATGTTTCTGAGATTACAATACAACTGCCTATGTTTTGGAAACTGCTTGGAATTGGAATATTTCGGAAACTCTATGGTTTTCGGAACCACCTGACCCCAATCCAAGCCAGCAAGCGTGCACACGAAGTTGGTTTCTGAAACGCACAGAGTTTCTGAAACATAGTTTGCGAAACATAGTTCCAGACACGCGCATAGCTAGAAAGAAACACTTGCAGTTCCTGGAGCGGAGTTTCATCAACTTCTGTCCAGAAAGCTGTTTCTTGTGAAGTTTCACCGTTCCGGACAAAGTTTCATCCGGACTCAGCTTGGTCTTGGTTTCACTCCAGTGAGAAACCATGAGAAACTACACCTTCATGACGGATTTCCCTTTCAAAAAAGGGTCTGATGCCCTTCATGACTGATCCCTTCATCCGGTCTGGTTTCTTTTTCCTTCCGTGCAAGCCATTCCCTTTCTCCACACCTGGCACGCCCTCGCGGTCCTCGGTCAAGAGCCGCTGGAGGTCCGCCTGTGGAGGTCGGTCGCAACAGTTCGCCCGCACAGTGAGTGATGGCAAGCGGGAGCGCTGCAGACCAAATACTGAGTGAGAAAAATGTGTCCCTGAACTCATGAGGGAGAATTTTGGCCCTTGGGTTCCCAGTCCATCTCCTCAGGTGTGGTGGTTAGACCCCCTGGCACCCACCCCTGGCCCACCTTCTCAAGGATCTCTCACTTCCTGGAGCCCACTTCCGCCCTCTTCGATCCCTCGCTGGCACCCGCACCTCGCTTTCCACGGTGTTTCGCTCAGGGTCCATGCTTCGGCTCACGAGGCCCACGAGACGAGGAGGTGACGACTTTGAGCCACAAGACGCCTTTCGTGCCGCGCCGGGCGATTCGGTCGAAGAGGCAGGAGGCCGGCCTGGTACCGATGGATCCAATGCCCAAGAACAGCTGCAGGAATGTCTAGAGTTCTTGAGGCAAAGAGATGTCTAGCATGTCAGAAAAGAATTTTCAATCTGGCACATGCGAGAAGCGCATGCAAGCGAATCTGGAACCTCTGGCAGGTTCATCACACCTTGCTCAACTCCCAAGCCCGTCAAGCCCGTCAAGTATTTTTGAGTCAGTGACCTCCTGCCCGTCCACGCGCGCGGCTGTTCTTCTGGGCATTTCCGTGATGTCTTTGCAGCTGTTCCCATCGCTCATAAAGCACCACAGCTGCAGCATGGGAGACATTGAGGCTGCCCTGAGACGTCATTTCGATTTAGGCATGAAAAATGCTATTCAAAAGTATGTGTGATATGTATATATGTTTTTTCTCGCTCCTTTTCTACTGTGACGAGCTGGCCGTCTTGGCCTTGAACAGCAAAGGGAGCTGGGTGTGGTCGTCCCGTCCACCGCATGGTGCTTGTAGTGCCTTGCTAGGATGCCATGCCTCCTGTTTCCAGGCCGCCTGGGCCTTGCATTGAGTACATCGTTTGATGTCCCGGGAGGACTGTGGCCACCACTCCAAGTCGGTAGAGTTCTTCACCAAGGCGGGCATGTTGGACCAAAGCGACAACATAGTGCCGGAGACGTGGGTCCTTGCTCGTGGCCGCAATGCCAACGGTGAAGACCGCCGTGTTGCTGACTTTCATCTCATCCTGCAAAGTCCAGCTGCCCCAAGCCTGTACCGCGGCTCCACCAGTGGCAATCTCATACCTTGGAAGCATGAGGAGGCCTTGGGACCAGAACTCAAGATTGATCCCATGATCCAACTCAAACTGGTCCTCCAGGTCCAGCGGTGGGAATTCCTTGTTGCAAAGCCACAGCAGATGAAGGAGAGTGGCCTTCTGGCCGCAATGAGGGCATTGCAGGCGCTTGTCCTCTTCGTTGTCGGAAATCTTGGTGAAGAGGGCTCCTTGATGCCATGTAGCCAAAGCTGCACTGTTCCGCGAATTGCTCGTTTTGTGCGCTTGTTGCCATGGGCTCCAATCCAGAGTATACTGGATGTCTGCCAGCATCTGCCGTTTGTTGATCTTTTCGATCCTCTCCCAGCGTTCAGCCCTCTTGAGTTCTTCCCTCAGGGTAAACCAATCCTCCTTCATGTCAAAGCAGAAATCTCTGCAGCCATTGTGCCCGGGCTTGGTCCAGACCCCATAGTTTGCACAATCCCATTGCCGTTCGAGAAGGTAGCAAATCAAAGCTGCCACTGGTCCCTTGGCCACTCGCCAGGGGTGTTGTGCTTGGGAGAGCCGTTCTCTGATGGCCTGCCAAGCCCGCGCCAGTGACTTTTGATTGCTTCAGGCCAGTTCCCATAGAAGCCTGTAGGCGCGGACCTGGGACACGAAGGAGCCATAGTCTGGGTCTTGGTGACGGCTGTGCATGTCATACAGGATGTCAATGTTGCCTGTCCTTTGGAGACCAAGTTGACGCCCCATGACTGCTTTCATCCTTTGGCGGACCTGTGGAGCTAGGCCCATTGCCTCATGTCCCCAGCTGATTCCTGCCACAATGCTGAGTGGGATTTTGAGGGTGGCCAGCTTCTTGGTTTTCCTGGTGGCCTTGGTGCGTCGTCCTCGAAGGGTGTGAATCCTCCTAAGGCGGCCAGCTGCGCACTCGACTCCCAAGTCCCTCATCACATCATGTACCCGAGGACCTTCCGGTGGTAGCTGCTGCTGAAGAAGCCTTTTGGCTGTGCTGTTGGAAGCAATGAAACCAGTCTTCTTTTCTGAGATCTTGAGATTGTCGGCCCGAAGGAGGTTTTTGATGTAGTCATAGGCCAGGAGAGCAATGCGCACTGATCACGATGCACCACATCAAAGCTCAGGTCATCGATCCGTTGGTATTTCTTATGGAATGCTTTCAGTGCTTCATACAGGTACACCTTGGCAGCAAGCGGGGCCTGTGGATCTCCAGCAAGAACGCCGTTCTGAGTCCAAAGCTGGCTGGAGGCCTCTCCCTCAGCTTCCAAAATGCGCCCTCCAAGGTACAGCTGCATTGCAAGTGCTGCATGCGTCCGTGGGTAGGTGGAGTCAAGCCACCTGTTGCAAAGCGTCTCCACGCTGATCCGGTCGTAGAAATTTGACACGTCTAAAAGGACCGAGACCACCATCTTCTTCATGGCACTGTGATGCTCAGTCATGAATGCCCTTTTCAATGCAACTTGTAGGCATTCAGTGCCAGGTACTGCTCGCTCCCAAGGGTAGTCCTCCTGCAGGGTGCCCTGCCACTGTTTCGTGAAGGAACTCCAGAGGCGGCACCATAGCCTGTACATGGTGGCAACCAGGGCGCCGTCCGATTTCACTTTCTCCTGGGGCTTCGCCCGGAATTTGCGACCGGATTCATCTGGCCCACACACCTCCAGCAGCACCTTCGTGGCCTGCTGCTCACTGAGGTTGAAAATGGGCCATCATTTTGTGAATATTGTCCCAGGTCACATCGAAGGGAACCTCCGCCAGAGCCTCCGCTGCCTCATCCTTCGACTTCACTGGCACCCGCCTGGGTGGAGGCGGTGGAGGAGCATGCGGCTTTGGGCGAACCACAAAGCCTTGCTTGTAATGGGCCTCTCGATTTCAGCAGACTTTGGGAGCAAGGCAATCAAGGACGTGGTCCACTGCTGCGGTAAAACGCCTTGGGACTCGATCTGGTGGAAGATCTGGACCAGGTCTTGCATGGCTTGATAGGGCAACGCTTTCAAGTAGTCAAAGGTCAAAGCTGATCCCGTCCAAGCCAGGCGCTTTTAAGCTGAGGTGCTTGATCGTGAACCAGACCTGTTTGGGGTGTAAAGGAGGCATGTTCTTTCCGAACTCAGCACCCTGGGCGATCAACTCCTGTAGCTCAGGGATCTGCAGGGGCTCTTCTCGAATACCCCAAATGGCCCCCCATTGCTGTTTCCTGCGCTCCGGAGCACACAGTCCAAGTAGCTTTCATATTGGACCAGCCTGGTGTTCTGGAGTGATAAGTCCTCATGAGTCCTTGCAATGCTCCTTCTGTGCAGCCTCTCCCTTCTCAGTCTGTAGAGCAGGATCATTCTATTGATGGGGTCTGCTCCTTTCCTTGCAGCCCCTGCCTTGCTCTTCAGTGTGGGCAGGACTGTCAATTCCTTCTGGCTGTCTCTCTTGCCTGGGACGATCTTGAAAAGGCCGCATGTACGGCATCTCATCCCGTTTCAATGTCCTGTACAGTCGCCGGCAGCCTTTTTGGGATGCTTTCGTCAACCATTCTCGGTATGTTTGTGTTTCTTGATCCAGAGCTTGTTGTTGGTGTAGGTCTCTCACCTCAGTGGTGTACTGCAACAGGACACGCACATGATCCTCCTCACATTGTCCCCAGAGCATCTGAAAAAGGAGGTTGAAGCCTTCGAGGGTGATGCGGCAATCGTCATGCCAGTGCTCTTGAATGTGCCAACCCAGGCGTTGCAGGTGCTGCAAAGGTGGATCTGCCCTTGGGTGCTGTATGAGTTGTTGCAAGCGGACTTCAACTTGCCCCCAAAAGGCCAAACTGCCCCGCTTCCAAATCCATGGCTTGCTCGGGTCCTGCAACGGCTTGTTGAGTAGCTGCAGCTGGGTTCCTCTGCCAAGCATGGGTTTGTGCAGGCCCTGCAGGACATAGCGCTCGATCTTGTGGTAGATGGCACCTATCCTCTGTGAGATGGGCGTGGTTTGAAGGTTCAACCACTGCACGGGAATGTCCTTGTATTCAACCTGGTGCCATTCAAGGAGCGGGTTTGTCAGCTTGGGAGCAGGACTGAACTTCTGGATTTGTATATATAGCGTCGGACTGAAAGATAGAATGAGGACGTTCAGGTCGTAATTTTTTCGGGGCTATACACTTAGAATGTATCATGGTTGTACACTTAGAATGTGGTCCCACAACTTTCAGTCCGACGCCCGAATATGATGTATATATATATATATTATATTTACTTTTTTTTATGTAAAGGGGATCGCCATAGATACACAGCGGTCCAGATGACCTCAACTTTTTTGAAGTGTGAAAGCCATTTGCAAGATTTGCAAGAGTGAACATTTGCCCGTTTCGCTGGCCGTGTTCCAGCAGCTCAGCAATTGAAGCCCAAAAAGCAATGGAGCCGATCGTGAGGGCAGCTTTGTCAAAGCCGCAAGATGTTGAGGAAGACCCTCCAGGATTGCCGCCAGTGCCTCCCCCTGAGCATCCTCCTCCCTTGGAAGAGCATCTCTCTTGCATTACACCACCCTTATTCAAGCTACCCTGAGGTTCACACCTTCTTTTTGATATGAGAATAATTACTGCGTGCCGTTATATCGAACATTTTGACCTAGGCATGGAGAGGCAACAGCTAGCGGTGAGCCGCTCCCAGTGGCACTCCCGGATTCCGTGAAAGCATTAAAGACGATGCTACTTGGTTTAAAAACAGATGCATTCCAAGTGATGACGTTCGAGTGTCCAATTTGTCCTACGGAGCTTGATTTAAATGCCCGAGGTTCCAAGTCCAGTTTGAAGATGAGATTTCTAACTAAGTGATTTTTTCTTAATTAAAGACGATGCTACTTGGTTTAAAAACAGATGCATTCTAAGTGACGACGTTCGAGTGTCCAATTTGTCCTACGGAGCTTGATTTAGATGCGCGAGGTTGCAAGTCCAGTTTGAAGATGAGACTTCTAAGTGATAGAGC